TACGTCCCCCACCCATGGCAACACTTGGTGGTACCACTACAACAACATTCTGATAGCAGGAAATGATAGTCCTAGGGGCCCTCTACCTTGCCCCAATAATGATTTGAAGCACACTTCAAAGATAAGGGGTATAATAGCTGACCTTTAACCCGTATATTAAAACACAAAGTGAAAAACAACAAAGTTCAGGTTAGCTTACTGGCCCTTTCTCTTTGTCGGGACCCTTCAGAAACCTGGCAAGTTGTTCTCTCTAAGGTCCTCAACCTTTCACTAGTGTTACTTTGTTCTAGTAGGCAAAGATGCTTTCAAAATGAATGCTTGAAATACGTCCCCACCCATGGCACCACTTGGTGGTACCACTACAGCAACATTCTGATAGCGGGAAATGATAGTCCTAGGGGCCCTCTACCTTGTCCCAATAATGATTTGAAGCACACTTCAATGTTAAGGGGGTATAATAACCCGTATTTAACCCGTATATTAAAACACAATGTGAAAAACAACAAAGTTCAGGTTAGCTTACTGGCCCTTTTTCTTTTTCAGGACCCTTCGAAAACCTGGCAAGTGGTTCTCCTTAAGGTCCTTAACCTTTCACTAGTGTTACTTTGTTCTAGGAGGCAAAGATGCTTTCAATATGAATGCTTGAAATACGTCCCCCACCCATGGCACCACTTGGTGGTACCACTACAGCAACATTCTGATAGCGGGAAATGATATTCCAAGGGATCCTCTACCTTGCCCCAATAATGATTTGAAGCACACTTCAAAGATAAGGGGTATAATTGCTGACCTTTAACCCGTATATTAAAACAAAAAGTGAAAAACAACAAAGTTCAGGTTAGCTAACTGGCCCCTTCTTTTCCAAGGGACTTTTGGAAAACCTGGCAAGTGGTTCTCCCTAAGGTCCTTAACCTTTCACTAGTGTTACTTTGTTCTAGTAGCCAAAGATGCTTTCAATATGAATGCTTCAAATACGTGCCCCACATATGGCACCACTTGGTGGTACCACTACAGCAACATTCTGATAGCGGGAAATGATAGTCCAAGGGACCCTCTACCTTGCCCCAATAATGATTTGAAGCACACTTCAAAGATAAGAGGTATAATAGCTGACCTTTAACACGTATATTAAAACACAAAGTGAAAAACAACAAAGTTCAGGTTAGCTAACTGGCCCCTTCCTTTCCTAGGGACACTTCCAAAACCTGGCAAGTGGTTCTCTCTAAGGTCTTTAACCTTTCACTAGTGTTACTTTGTTCTGGTAGCCAAAGATGCTTTCAAAATGAATGCTTGAAATACGTCCCCCACCCATGGCACCACTTGGTGGTACCACTACAGCAACATTCTGATAGCGGGAAATGATATTCCAAGGGATCCTCTACCTTGCCCCAATAATGATTTGAAGCACACTTCAAAGATAAGGGGTATAATTGCTGACCTTTAACCCGTATATTAAAACAAAAAGTGAAAACAACAAAGTTCAGGTTAGCTAACTGGCCCCTTCTTTTCCAAGGGACTTTTGGAAAACCTGGCAAGTGGTTCTCCCTAAGGTCCTTAACCTTTCACTAGTGTTACTTTGTTCTAGTAGGCAAAGATGCATTCAAAATGAATGCTTGAAATACGTGCCCCACTCATGGCACCACTAGGTGGTACCACTACAGCAACATTCTGATAGCGGGAAATGATAGTCCTAGGGGTCCTCTACCTTGCCCCAGTAATGACTTGAAGCACACTTCAAAGATAAGAGGTATAATTGCTGACCTTTAACCCGTATATTAAAACAAAAAGTGAAAAACAACAAAGTTCAGGTTAGCTAACTGGCCCCTTCTTTTCCAAGGGACTTTTGGAAAACCTGGCAAGTGGTTCTCCCTAAGGTCCTTAACCTTTCACTAGTGTTACTTTGTTCTAGTAGGCAAAGATGCATTCAAAATGAATGCTTGAAATACGTCCCCCACTCATGGCACCACTTGGTGGTACCACTACAGCCCCATTCTGATAGCGGGAAATGATAGGCCTAGGGGCCCTCTACCTTGCCCCAGTAATGATTTGAAGCACACTTCAAAGAAAAGGGGTATAATAGCTGACCTTTAACCCGTATATTAAAACAAAAATGAAAAACAACAAAGTTCAGGTTAGCTTACTGGCCCTTTTTCTTTTTCAGGACCCTTCAGAAACCTGGCAAGTGGTTCTCCCTAAGGTCCTCAACCTTTCACTAGTGTTACTTTGTTCTAGTAGTCAAAGATGCTTTCAAAATGAATGCTTGAAATACGTCCCCCACCCATGGCACCACTTGGTGGTACCACTACAGCAACATTCTGATAGCGGGAAATGATAGTCCTAGGGGTCCTCTACCTTGTCCCAGTAATGATTTGAAGCACACTTCAAAGATAAGAGGTATAATAGCTGACCTTTAACCCGTATATTAAAACACAATGTGAAAAACAACAAAGTTCAGGTTAGCTTACTGGCCCTTTTTCTTCAACACGACCCTTCGAAAACCTGGCAAGTGGTTCTCCCTAAGGTCCTTAACCTTTCACTAGTGTTACTTTGTTCTAGTAGCCAAAGATGCTTTCAATATGAATGCTTCAAATACGTGCCCCACATATGGCACCACTTGGTGGTACCACTACAGCAACATTCTGATAGCGGGAAATGATAGTCCAAGGGACTCTCTACCTTGCCCCAATAATGATTTGAAGCACACTTCAAAGATAAGAGGTATAATAGCTGACCTTTAACCCGTATATTAAAACACAAAGTGAAAAACAACAAATTTCAGGTTAGCTTACTGGCCCCTTCCTTTCCTAGGGACACTTCCAAAACCTGGCAAGTGGTTCTCCCTAAGGTCCTTAACCTTTCACTAGTGTTACTTTGTTCTAGTTGTCAAAGATGCTTTCAAAATGAATGCTTGAAATACGTCCCCCACCCATGGCACCACTTGGTGGTACCACTACAGCAACATTCTGATAGCGGGAAATGATAGTCCTAGGGGCCCTCTACCTTGCCCCAGTAATGATTTGAAGCACACTTCAAAGATAAGGGGTATAACATCTGACTTTTAATCCGTATATCAATAGACAATGTGAAAAACAACAAAGTTCAGGTTACCTAACTGGCCTTTTCTAGTCATTGGAACCTGTCAAAAAGTTGACAAAGGATACTCCCTAAGGCCCTTAACTTTTTTCCAGTTTAGTGTTAGTTTGTTCTAGTGGTCAATGATGGTTGAAAAATGAAAGCATGAAAGATGTTCCCCACCGTTGGCACCACTTGGTGGTGCCGTTACAGCCTCAAACCGATTGCGGGAAAAATAGTCCTAGAAATCTTCTATCTTGCACAGTAATGATTTAAAGCACACTTATAAGATAAGAGGTATAATAGCTGCTTGAAATACGTAAGCCGCCCTTGGCACCACTTGGTGGTACCACTTCAGCCTAAATTTTATGGCCGTATATAATAGCCCTGTGGATCCTTTTACCTTGAGCCAGTAATTGTTCGAAGCACACTTCAAGGATCATAACTTAAAATAGATTAAATTACCTTCAAACCCTTATCAATGTAAATATTAGGAGTAAGCAAATTTCAGGTTAGCCTTTTTGCACCATCATGTTCCTGAGACCCGTAAAAGAGCCTAAAAGGGATTCTCCCGGAAGTACTTAACCTATCCAATGCTGTTTTATTCTTAAGCGGTCAAAGATGGTGACATTTTCTTCTTTTTGTTTGTTTGTTGTGAAACCGCAGAATTTTCCTTATGCAGGTGAGCTTAACTGCCTCCAAGTGTTTGAATTATTAATTAATAATTAAGTGTTGCATTAATTATCTAATTATTAATTATAAATTGTCGAAAATGAGGCATTAAACAGTATTGCGTCAGAGTACTCTCAGTCCTTTGATGAATTTCCTTAGTGGCTGCTAGCTTCTACGGGCTTAATGGCTGCTGTTATTGGCTGCTCGCTTCAGTCTAGTGAGAATACCTGTATTAAGTAACACAGAGTGAGTTGTTCTTGTCCTCGGAGAAAGTATGCTTATATGCTGAGAATTATTCCGCCTGATTGACAACTGTACATTGGATTGTTACGATTTGATCTCTCTCTTGTGTTTCTTATATCAAGAATGGGAATGCATAAAGGATAGATAATTGAAGGAAAATACACAAACCTATAAAAAAATTTAAAATAGTCTTTGAAAAGGCGAAAATTTAAAACTATAAAAGTGTGGCACCAGGTGGATTCGAACCCCGAACTTTAAAAAGAAAGTACCAACGATATAAGAGTCAGTTCGTATATCAACTGAGCTATTCTGACTATAAGATTGAATAGTATAAATTTGAAGCAGATTGTCAAAATCAAGTTTACTTATTTTTTGTAGGTTTTTTTGTGGATTTCAGTCGACCCTAGGGCAGGGGTGCCCCTAAAAAAAATCCTGTCTTAAATTATTCTTTACATCCCAACCTATCAAAATTTAGGGGCAGGCCTGCCCTGAAGGACTTCTAGGCCAAAATTCATGCAAAAATCAACGCTTTAACGGACAAAATGGTGTTTCGGCCAACTTTGGAGGTTTATTGTAAAGTTGTAAATAATAAATTTTAGTTGTAAAATACAAATTTGAAAAATTTAGACATATATACGGTATAAAACAACAAATAAAGATTGATTTTTAAATGTCACTTTTTCCGGGAAATTGTTCTCTCCTATAGGTCAATTCTTTTGTAATAGTGAATACATCCTTTATCTTGCATGTAGGTGGCAGAAGATATTAAAGATATTTGTAATGGAAATCACTAAATTCAGTGCCCTTTCCAAGATTCAAATGAAAAGAGACGGAGAGAGAGATAAAGTCATTAATTTTTCATGCCTGTGGTATATATATACGGAGATGCGCATCTGCTAAAATAGTTTTAAACTAATTCGTATAAGACGAATAATTTTGCGTACAATTTGGTTCGCATCGTTCACTTCCGGTAACCAAAAATATGTAAACATTTGATTTGTAACTTTAGACAAAAAATGAAGTTATTTACAAGCGTTGCTGCCAAATTAACCCAAGATTTAGAAGATTTACTTTGCCAAAACACGGATGGATGTCTGAGTGAGAGTGCTGTTATACAAGAACTCGTGTCAAAAACTGGTTTAATGTTATTGCAGACGGGTACTGTGTGGGAACTCGTCGGCAGCATCCAGTCCGTGTATAACGCTTATGTAGCATTGTCAAGACTCCTAGACACAGAGTTTCAGATCAAAGTAGACAATTTGATGATAGAAAATGAAGTTAGTTTAAGGAATTCAGGTTTAAGTGGTTCCTCGGAATTGAAAAATGAAAAGAGGAGGTTACACAGAACTGTCGATGACTTCACAGGTTTACAAGCGGACGGTGAGATTTTGAACAAAGACTCGGACAAAAATATCAGCCGTGATGGATTGAAAAGGAGAATTAAAGTTCCAGATCCTGTGGTGCTTTCGTTCAATATCGATGATAACTCAGGAGAATATACTCTGTCTGATGCTGTAGTCAAGTCCCGCAATGAAAAACATGAATGGCAAACTACAGCAGCTGACTCAGAAACAAGCACTGACGAACTGACAATGCTGAACAAATGTGATAGTAAATTGGCAACACCAAATCAACTTCCTGAAAGTCAAGTACGTTTAACTAGAGAGACTGAAGTAAATAAAAATACAAATAATTGTGTTAAAAGAACCACAGTTTCTGAAAAGGAGGCCGAGGGTTCAAAAAAGTTAAAGAAGACAAGGAAAGAAAGGAAAGTGCACAACAGCAATAATGAAAAAACTGATTTGAAAGCTGTGGGGAAAAGATCAAAGAAAAAGAGGAGAGGTAAAAAACAAATGAAAACAACTGATGAGGGTTGTATTGATTCAGAAAAGCAGACCGACAACAGTGATGATAGTAACGAATCAGAGAAACAAGAAATTGAAAGGAAGGATATGTATATTGAAGCGGATGTGGTTAAAGAATCGGAAAAATTTGAGTCAGACTCAGATGATGTATCTGGTGATGGAGATATGTCAGAAGAGGATTCTGAGAATAATGATTCCAGAAACAAATCAAAATCTCACCCTCAAACTGTAACATCAAACCCAACCCTAAACAAGAAAAATAAATGTAATTTGTGTGACTATGTTGGTAAACATTCCCGTGATTTAGGACAACATAAAATGAAAAAGCACCTTGACAATGTTCTTAAATTGGAAGAATACAGTAGTGTTAGAGAACTTGATGTATCAAAGAGTGACAATATGCTTTACAAGAAAGTGGAGGAACAGGGCCTTAAACACATTGATCTCAAAGCCAAAAATATTCCTTGTCAAATCAAAGACTGCAAGTTTGTTGCTAAACTAAAACACAACATGATTGAGCACTATGCAAGGATGCATTCCGTGAAGAACCTTAAATGTAAATTCTGTAACGCTCTATTTTCCCTGTATAGGGATTTAAAAAGGCATCTTAAGCACCATAGTACTCAGTTTGCTTGTGATAAATGTGGAAAAATGTATAAGAGCTCTAGAACCTTTAGTGCACACCAGAAGACTCATGAAGAGAACTTTGTTAAACCAGAATACGAGTGCAGTACATGTGGTAAAAAATTCAGCACAAAATACGTCCTTAGGTATCACATCAAGTCAGAACATATGGGGCAAAAGAAATCATTTATATGCCCTACATGTGGTAAAAGTTTTACACAGAAACAATCATACATCATCCATGCCAACGTCCATCTTGGAATACGACCTTTTGTGTGTGAGGTCTGTGGTGTTTCCTTCCCTTATGAAAAGTCTCTGAGAGAACACAAGTACATGCATGAAGAGGGCAAAAAATTCAAATGTGAAATCTGTGGTAAGCAATTTAAGCAGCCCTCATCTCTTGGCACACATCTGAAAATTCACAAAGAAACAAAGGATCATCTGTGCAAGGTGTGTGGGAAAGGCTTTACACAGAGGCAGGCATTGCTGCGACATGAACGAGTTCACTCAGGGGACAAACCCTTTTCTTGCAGCATTTGTACCAAGAACTTTAACGACGCATCTATCATTCGGAGACACATGATCCTGGTACACAAAATCAACTCTAAGGACTGGAGGTCTTTCATTCAGACTAACACTCCCAGACAGTCAGATCATTTTGTTCAGATTCTGAACGGAGAACTACAACCACAACTGAAAAAAAGAAGACCCCCAAAACATGTGGATGCAGATGGTCACAACAGTTCAAAGGACTTGCAAAGTAAAGTGGGTTCGAATGTTGACTCAAGAGCTCATGCTCCATTGGCCCTGAGTTCCATGGCGTCTTCAGGTACACACCAACAAAACAGTGCCCTGGTAGAATCATCAGGATCCGAAACATCTGACATGATTCCTCAGGGACACATGAATACTCTGCCAAATTCTCAGACTCTTACTAGTATACACAGCCTTAATAATGTATCTCCACTTCACCAGGGACAAGGGGAGTGTGCAGTGTATGATAATTACTTTACTGGTCTCCCACCCACAAATTACAACTCTGTACACGCTAAATCTAATGAAGCAGGGATTGGGGAACAGCTAAATGCAATTTACCCAATTCCTGTCCGGCCAGCTGTGTCAGAACCTCTTCTGCACCAATACATGCATCTTGCATCAAATTACAGCCAGTATAATCAAAGTTAATAGGTGAACAACTACAATGAGAGAAAAAGTCCCTTGCAGATGCAAATATTTTTTAATTTTGTATAAAACAGTAGCTTTATGTTTGTTAAACTGACAGCTGATGTATTGGTTGAAGATTTCATTCTGTATTAATGAATACCAGTACCTAAACATATATGATCATATATACATCTAGTTAATGCGCTTTTGATTTGAAATGTGTACTTGGGATTCACTGAAATTATCTGCACTTTCTACCTTCAATTGCTTTTTAAAAGAAAATTTAACAAACAGGATTTTTTTTTCTTTTTAAAATTAAATTTAAAAGAAAATGCAGAAACCATTAGCTATAGGTATGAGATTATATATTTTGAATATAAATTTTGAAATTTCAATTGTTTCCAAAAAATTACATCTATGAACTTATAAAACTGTGAACTGTGATTGAATTGACTCAAAATCTACTGCAATTTTGCACTACATGTATCAAGTAAATGGTTTTTTGTTTTGTTTTTGTTTTGTTTTTATTTTTTTTTTTTTGCATATTTTTTCTTTTTACAGCATTTTGATTTTTTGCAGTGTGTTGATATGATTATCTCTGAGCTTGTTTTAAATGTTAATTTTTTTTAAAGATATTATACATTTATTGCCCACCAGATGCTAAATGTACTGTACTCTGGAATTATAATTATTGTTGATGTCCATGTGAATGACAACAGATCAATACCAAATAAAATCTAAAATATTAATTTATGCACATTCAGAACATAACAAATAAATAGAGTTTGTCAGGGATGGCTCAAAGCATGTGAATAGCATTTTCAGAGATGGATGATGTTTTGTCATAATGACAGATAAAACCAGATGTCGAGGTAAACTTAAACATTTACTAAGTTTTCATTTATACTGATTTCTAATTTGAATATTCGCCCATGTCTTCCAGTCATCCCTGTGTGACTCTGATTGTTCTTAACGAGGTGCTGAGGATTTTACCGTGACGCAAAAGCAATACACTTTAGGATAAATAACACTAACAAACTCTTCTTTTTTTTTCAAAAATCAGTAGTATTTCTCATAGTTTTATATTCAAATATGTAAACTGAATAATGTTTGGCATGTAAAATGGAAGGAAAAAAACAAGATTTTGTCACAATGTTAAAAATGTGATCAACATTTTGTATAAAATTACATGGAAAACAAAGTTGCAAGAAAACTTACAATTTCTTTATATTTTAGTGATTTATTATTTATGTCATTTCTAAAACTATTTAAATTCAGTCAAAAATATATATCAACCCATGCTTCAAATTTTTGTTCGTGTTATGTATCCTTAAAGTGTATAGATAGTATCTATGGGACATTTTAAAATGATTTATGACCAAGACCAACATATGAAATTATAGTTAGGAATATAACTTTAATTTGAAAATGGTATTAATCCTTTTAAAAGAATTTTGAAATATATATTTATGCAAGCTATTTTTAACAGAATAATGAAAACAGCAAGATTTTTATATAAGCTGTAGTCTTCAGTCATTGTTGCTTTTCTTTTGGTAAAACAGGTCTCAGGACAATAGTATTGTAGATCATCACTGTAATCAATCTCTAAAATTTTATTATCAAAGATTTCCAAAATTTACATAAAGAATATGTTTTTTTCCCGAAATTCTTGTCTCCGCAGTTCCTATGCATATGTTTGCAAATCCTCCCTAACAGCAATATGTCCCAATTTCATACTGATATTTATTTATTGAGGGAAAAGCAACATAAAACAGGTATTTTCTATACTTTATTATTAAGTTATGAAATCCCTATAACTTCTGCAGTATGACTGCCCAGTTCCCCTGGTCATAATAACTGTCCACTACATGACAACCGGACACTTGACCACAGAGTCCTTCCAACTCCCCCCTCTGAAAAACATGATAGAATCTGTGGAACACATTGTCTGTCTTCACCGCTGATGTCCCCTTCAGCTGCCACGGGACTAACAAGTCCTGCTGCTGGAAATGAGTCCGGTTTTTGTGTATAACAAGTTCTTTATGATTACCACCAGGCTGTTCCTGTGGTTTTGAGTCCCAGGGAATATCAGAGTTATCTTTCTTTGACTGTTCACATTTATCACAGCTGTTGGAGTGATTATCATCATTGTCGTCCACATTGAAGTCTTTCTCCTTAAGGTACTTTGATTTCACTTTGTTGATCTCTTGTTCCATTGCCCACACGTAAATCAAGGCCTGACCACCGGACCTAAGGATCCTGACCAGCTCTGTTAAAGCTTGTACTCTCCTCTCCTGATAATGAATCAGTTCATAAACTATCTACCTTTTTGCATAATTATTCTAATATTATTATTTTACCATATTTAAGGAAAAAAGAAAAATATTCAATAGTCAATTTTGTTTGGAACAACTTTTTTGTGTGTCATCTTTGTTGTTTTATTATGTGATGTTGAAAATTCTTCTTTGACAAAGATGTTTTCAAAATAAACAGCAAATATTTCCTGCATACCTCTGTAGAGAGGTGATGAATGACAGCTATACAGATACAGACATCAAAAGCCTCAGATCGTAGAGGAATGGACAGAACGTCTCCCACAAACGCCTGGAATCCTCGCTGTCTACAGATCTCAGTTAGCTTTGTACTTCTATCAGATCCAATCTATAAAGGAAAGATTAAAACTCTACTTATCTTAAAATAATGTCATACATAAGAAAGACAGCAGGCAAACATTGGATAAACAACCTTGAGTTCTTTGTTTGTTTTACTGTAGCTATCTTTTGAGTCACAGAGAAAGATACTGATGATGCAACCTATTGAAAATGATTGTTGAATAAGTAAGGACTTTCTTGAAGAAATTGCATATACCTTAGCCCTGACCTTAAATGTTATATGTTTATCAATTTATCTGTCATTTATCATTAATGTTTATCAAAACTTATTTTTTTGTATCACCTGGTAGATGGTTTTGTTTATTCCGAGGTATTTCCCATTCCCACACCCAATGTCGGCCATTAATGACCCAGGGGGCTGTTTCAGGAGGAACACTGAGATTTTGGGCCACGGGGAGTGTCTGGTACCACTGAAGTGAGAGGCAATCTCCTCATACACCTAAATATAGATACATGTAAATCACAGGAATCGCCCCGTACATCTAAATATAGTTACCAGTAAAACATAGGAATCTCCTCATACAAGTGTAAAGCATAGGAATCTCTTCATGTACCTAAATATATATACGTGTAAAACGTAGAAATCTCCTCATACACCTAAATATAGATTTGTGTAATACATAAGAATCTCCTCATATAACTAAATATAGATGCATGTTAAATGTATATAGGAATCTCCTTGTACACCTATATATAGATACATGCAAAACAGGAATCTCCTCATGAATATACCTAAATATAGATACATGTAAAAACATAGGAATCTCCTCATACACCTATATATTGATACATGTACATGTAATACATGGGAATCTCCTCGTACACCTACAGTAAATATAGATACATGTAAACCAATAAAAATCTTCTCATACATCTTCTGGTATTAAACAGATAAAATACAGAGATCTCATACACTTCAACTGAGCTATTAGGCAAACTCTTCAATCTGCTTATCATGCAAGAAAATGATGTAACATAGCAATCTCCTTGTACACCTTAACATATATATATTGATAAGCCCCTTTGATTTTACCTGATGAACATGCTGAGTCTCCAGTTTTTCTGCCTCAGAAGAGGATACAGGGAGGGTGGGTCTTTGTTCTGACCTACAGCAATAGAGGAAAAGTAACAGAATTCATTGTAATTTAGTAAAAGAAAAAAAATCATATTATGCATATATATTTACATTTCCAAATATTTTTCCTTAAGATTCATATTATGCACGTGTGTCTCAAATTCTGAGAAATCTACATCAAACTAGGCATTTTGAATTTGCTGCAAGCACTCAAACAAATTGTTTCTGGAGACCAAAGTCTTCCTGGAATTTATCTACTCCAAAGGATGAAAAAGTAAACAAAAACATAGGTTATCAAAGATTACTAAGCTCACCTCGACCAATATTATCTATAAGTAAGGCAAATCTCACATCCTATTTTTTTCCTAGTTAGTGTACATCCCAATATCAATATCCATCAATATCAGATTCAGAATCCAAAGCAAGTCTGGAAGTGTCCATCCCTAGATACATCAACATCCATGCTAATTTTGCTAAAATATGGCTAAAATTCACTCATGTGGAAAATCTAGGTCAGATCCAGAATCTGAAGCAGGTTAGTTAGTGTACATCCCTAGATCCATGCAAGTTTGCTAACGCCGATGGTATAGCATAAACGCATCTCGACTTTGTCGAGGTGAGCTAAAAAATTATTTTTTGCCTTGCCTTTTCTTTTTATTGCAAATACAAAAGCTTTGCAAGGAACCACATTGTGAACTGCATACATTCATGAGTGGTAAAATACATTTACATAAGAAGTAAAATACATTTATGTAGAAATTATAGTTAAAAGAAATCTTGTGGTTAAAAAATAACCGTCCTATACCTCTCTGTTGTCTCTCGCCTTTTCCTCTCTGTAGGGTGGATAATTTTCCTAAATGTGAATGAGGTCCTGGTTCCCCTGGGTATGACACTCAGGTTTCCCTCTGTGGAGGGGATAATGTCCGACTTCCGTGGGGTGATACCATGTGACCACATGTAGCGAGATTCTCCCGTCATGATGAGGAGACTTCTGGGAGGAAGTAGAACAGACAGCTGTCGTCCGTCTGGGTGATGGAAGTCCATCAGCACCTGAATGTTTTGTTTTAGTTAATTTTACTTGAATAGTATTTAAAATCTACAAGTAAATTATCATGTACGGAAATATTCCAGAATACAATTCCAGTGCAAACTTGCATGCAGATTACAGCACAAGTCAACACTAATTTAGGGAAATTTAAGTACCATACATCAATATTTTAAAAAGATAAAAACTCAGCTTACTTCAGTGAATACATGTACTATCTATAAGTAATACAAATCTCACAGCAAAGTTTTTCTAGTTGTGTGGATCCCTGTCCCAAACACTTTAATTTGATCACTTAGCAAGAAATTATAGGTAAGATCAAGCATCCAAAGCAAGTGGGTAGTGTCAATCCCTAGATGCATCATCAATGCAAGTTTGTTCCAGGTAAAACTTGTAGGTATTTTGGAATGGACTTGCTCCTAAAACTTTGACTGGAACTCCACGCCCATAGCATAAAATTGATATGGAAATATGTCTCCATATTAAAGGTTAGGACTCTGTTCAAGGCAGTTGTAATTATTTAACATGAGACACCTGGTTAAATCAGGTTCTATTTATGTACGTTTTGTATGCATCAAATGATTTACAGTAACACATACCTGGGATCCTAGACTGAGGGACATGATGCCGTCCTCAAAAGCAGGCCCTGTGTCAATATGAGCTGGAATCCCTGAAATAACAAAACAGCTCAGCTAAATTATTAGTCTAGCATATCAGCCATTCAGTTATCAATAAATAACATTTAACAACTTTGTTTTTTTGGCAATACAATATACCTACCCTGACCAGCCTGGTACCTGTTGACTGTCAGTTGATCAGGGAGGTGGGTCACATGACCTGTATTTAGTGCCCTCTGTAGGAAAGCAGAGCAGACATTGGGAATACCCTGAGGGAGAGGGTCATCGGGGTCTACATCATTAATTCCGTATTTAAACTCGAATCCAAAGTGCTTCACTTGCCTGTGTTTTAATTCACTTCTCTCTGAAAAGAAAAATGAGGATATATATACTAAATATGTTCCTCAACTTACAAATAGATTTAAGGCTTATTTACAAAAGAAAAATGCCTCCTTTCTTTCATTAGTTAGAATTTAAAAAGAACTTAATTTTTCTACAAGAGAAAGAGAAAGGAATGGTTTCAAGTTTTTCTTTGGTGATAGGCTGGATTTTCAATATTTATATGAATTATCACCCCTGACAAATGCTACAGAAATGTGGAACAATGGTAATGTAAAAATGCGGCTTTAACTAAGTTATATGGGTACATTTATAGGCACATACACAGATTAACCTGCCTCGTAATGGTAAACCGACCCTGTGAAGGTGCTTCCCAGTCGACATATGACAGAAACTGTTTATAGGGTTTATACATAGACAAATAACTGTGGTGTATTCACTAATAAAAAACATGCGGCATGATTTAGATGTGGTATATTCATGAGATAAGAAACATTACAATAACCCTGTCATGTAATGGTAATACAAACCCTGTGAAGGCGCTTCCCAGTCGACTGATGACAGAAACTGTTTCTCCTCTTCCTCTGATATGAAGTTTTCCAGGATAATCAGACCAGGAGGAGTTTCTGAGGTGGGGGAAAGACCCGGGGGGGCTTGAAAACAAAGAAATTAAAATGGTTATTTCAATTTTTTTTTTACATACAATGTAAATCAGGACTTAATGGAATTCTTCTTTTCTCTTGGTGACTTGCCACAGTGATTTTTGAGTCAAAAGGAAGGGAAATTCTTCTATTTTTCACAAAGATTTGTTTTGTTTCCCACAGCTCTAAAAATTGCATTGTGTTTTATCTAAAGCAAGCAATTTTTGCTAATTAACGGAGTAAATTTAATATTACACTTGATTTCGATAATTGTTAAAACTAACATAACCCTGCCATCCTACTACAATTCAATTCAATTCAATTCAATTCGTTTATTGACCAATTAAGGGCCCTCATGGGGCAAAATGAAAGTACATTGTTAAATTGTATATAATGATTATGATCATACATACGAAATACAATATACATATACATAAGAGGGAAAGAATTGCTTGATTGATAGAAAAGACATACAAGTAGGGGAATACCCAAAAATATTTCATATGAACATAAGACTTAATTGTTTTATAGGTATATATATAGTACATCATATATATATGCATTCATTACTAAACCATATACTTGAAAGTATCATACTTTTACATAATTAATAATAATAATTAAAAAAAAAAAAAAAAAAAATTATGGTAATGTTTTTTGTAAAAATCTTCCAAGAGAGTTTAGTATATCTAGTTCTTCGCAATTTAGAATCCAGAATAATTTTTGTTTATCAGGCAATTCTGTAAAATGTTTTACTTTAGATGAGATCAGGTTAAATAGGTCTTCTCTTTCCTTTGTAAATTTGCTACAGTGAATAAGGAAATGTTCTTATTCATCTTCAATTTGATTAAGCGTACAATTTTTACATATTCTTTCTGATCTGGGTGTGTTATTATATCTGCCTAATTCTATGAAAAGTCTGTGCGCTGATACACGTAATCTACATATTGGTTTTCTGTATTCAGGCTTTAATAAAATTAGATATTTTTCCAATCTAAAATTGTTATTCAGAAATAAATAAGTGACAAGTTTGCCCTCCTTTAGTGTTTCATTTGAGTGTTGCCAATCAAGTGAGTATTTTTTATTCATGGATTGTTTTAATGAATTCATAAAATTACTCTTAGTATAGGACATTATGTTTGGGATATCAAGAATTTTTAGTAATTTTTCTATTGAGGAGTACCAAGTTGTTTTTTGGGCGAAATGAAGTTCCTTACTACATAAAAAATGCATCTTTTAGTAAAGGGAAATCTGAATTTAAATTTTCTAATCTGTAGCAATATTTAAGTAACATGTTGATAATATCATAATGCAAAGGATATCTACCTAATTCTGAAAGAGAGGCATGGTTCGTACTTTTCCTATTCAAACCTAGTATAGTTTTACAGAACTTGATGTGTAAATTTTCTCCTGTAAAGTTTTTATAGCATAGTTGCATCAATATTTGATTAGATTGCTTTATTTTTGAATTATTAACATTAAATATTCCCCATATTTCTGAGCCGTAAAGTAATATAGGCTTAATTGTGTGATCAAAGACATTGAGGCTAGTGGATATCCCAGGATTTAAGCTAAGAAAGTCTTTTCGTAACTTGAAAAAAGCTTTAAGTCCCTTTTTGTATAACTCATTTTTTGCCATAGAGAAAGTCCCCGAGGCTGTGAAATAGATGCCTAGGTATTTATAACTAGATACACATTCAATATTGAAATTTTTGTAGTGAAATTTATGTTTGATTGTTCTCCCAGCTTTGTTAAATATAATAATTTTCATTTTTATTAGAATTTACTTTCATAACCCAATCATCACAATACTTTTCTAAAGAATTTAGCTTTTGCTGTAGTCCTTCAGGTGTTGATGAAAAAATTACTACATGTATTAGGTCAACATGGGAAGTTGCCATGATGATCAAACAAAATTTAACTATAGGTTTGATATAGTTCCTTTTTCTACACAAATAACCAGTGCTACTCTGACTCATTAGGCTTATTTCAAGTTAAGAAAAACATAGGTAATCAGAGATTACAGAGCTCACCTCAAGGAATGTTGTCTTTAAATAAGGCAAAGTCCCACACTAAACTATTAATCTAGGAGTGTGCATCCCTAGATGCAACATTTATGCAATTTTGGTCTGATAGGGCTTGTAGTTACTTGGGAATAGACTTATCTGAAAACTTAAAACTAGTCACTCATCCAGAAAATGTAAGTCAAATCCAGCATCCGAAGCAAGTTTTGAGATTGTTCATCCCTTGATGCATCATCCATGCAAGTTTTGTTCAGATAGGCCTTATAGTTACTTGGAAATGAGATCTGCTCCAAAAACTTTAACCTGGTTACTCATCTGGAAAATATTGGTCAGATCCAGCATCCGAAGCAAGTCCAGTAGTGTGAATCCTTAGATGTATCATCCATGCAAGTTTGGTCAATATAGGGTTTATAGTTACTTGGAAATGACATCTGCTCCAAAAACTTTAACCTGGTCACTCATCCGGAAAATGTAAGTCAAATCCAGCTTCGAAGCAAGTCCAGTAGTGTGCATCCTTAGATGTATCATCCATGCAAGTTTAGTCAATAAAGGGCTTATAGTTACTTGGAAATGAGATCTACTCCAAAAACTTTAACCTGGTCACTCATCCCAAAAATTTAGGTCAGATCCAGCATCCAAAGCAAGTCCAGTAGTGTGCATCCTTAGGCCAAATAAAAAAATATGTGTGGTTCCGGTTACCCGACTGTCCCTATTTTATACCCCCGACCCTAAACTTTTTTTTGGCGATTTTCAAATTTCCGGAATTTCCCCCGATTTCCCTCATTGGCTCCAGTATTAGTTTTAGTTTCAGCAATGGTGGCCTTCTTTGACAACATCGTTTCAACACACAGTACAAGTGTTTTGTCAGTTACAAATGTCCCCACTTGAAGGAAAGCAATAGTATTATCTCACCAATTATCACCAATAGTTAATTCAAGAACATTCAATGATATTTTTGACGTTTGAAAAAAAAAAAAAAAAAAAAAAACTACCTACCTACCCTAATTTGTTTGGAGGTGTAACCGGAACCACACATATTTTTCATTTGGCCTTAGATGTATCATCCTTGCAAGTTTAGTCAATATAGGGCTTATAGTTACTTGGAAATGAGATCTGCTCCAAAAACTTTAACCTGGTCACTCATTCGGAAAATATAGGTCAGATTCAGCATCCGAAGCAAGTTCAGTAGTGTGCATCCTTAGATGTATCATCCATGCAAGTTTGGTCAATATAGGGTTATAGATACTTGGAAATGACATCTGCTCCAAAAACTTTAACCTGGTCACTCATCCATAAAATATAGGTCAGATTCAGCATCCGAAGCAAGTTCAGTAGTGTGCATCCTTAGATGTATCATCCATGCAAGTTTGGTCAATATAGGGTTTATAGATACTTGGAAATGACATCTGCTCCAAAAACTTTAACCTGGTCACTCATCCATAAAATACAGGTCAGACCCAGCATCCGAAGCAAGTTCAGTAGTGTGCATCCTTAGATGTATCATCCATGCAAGTTTGGTCAATATAGGGCTTAAAGTTACTTGGAAATGAGATCTGCTCCAAAAACCTTAACCTGGTCACTCATCTGGAAAATATAGGTCAGATCCAGCATCTGAAGCAAATCCAGTAGTGTGCATCCTTAGATGTATCATCCCTGCAAGTTTGGTCAATATAGGGCTTATAGTTACTTGGAAATGAGATCTACTCCAAAAACTTTAACCTAGTCACTCATCCAGAAAATTTAGGTCAGATCCAGCATCCGAAGCAAGTTCAGTAGTGTGCATCCTTAGATGTATCATCCATGCAAGTTTGGTCAATATAGGGCTTATAGTTACTTGGAAATGAGACCTGCTCATAAAACTTTAACCTGCTCCAAAAACTTTAACCTGCTCCAAAAACTTTAACCTGCTCCAAAAACATTAACCTGGTCATTCTTTAGCTGAAATTGCAGCATCTGAAACCTTGACTGGTACAATAAAACACACTAGAAGCATCCTCCATGCATCTCTGACTAATACAGGCCATAGAAGTACTTGAAAAGAAAACTGCTCCAAAAACCTTAACCTGGGACACCGACGCCAAGGGTATTACATAAGCTCCCCCAACTTCTTGGGGTGAGTTAAAAATGTCTTTATTTCTTCAATTTCCTATGCTATATTTAGCTATTTACATTACAAGTAAATTTATTAAAACTAGTGAGATGAGTATCAGTTCACGTATAATTCAAAATTGAATTCAATTTCTTAGAGAATTTTGCCAATTAGGTATTTATATTTTTATCACCTTTAGACACAAAGAAGATGTACAGTGTTGCTGTTTGTTTTCTGCTGTGGGTCTCTGGAAGAACTGTACCACTGAGCTGAGTCATTGCTCTTTCAGCAGAATCTACATCCCCATAACACACAAAAGCATATGGTTTCTTGGGTAGCATGATTATCTCCTCTATAGGGCCAAGTGGACCAAAGACAGCAGCGACTTCATCATAGGACACACCTACATCCAATCCCGCATTGTTGACACACAAAATCTAAAAATAAAAAAAGACACATAAATGACTCTATTTTATGATACAAACTTGAAGCGTTCTATTAGTTTCGCACTCTGGTTTTCATAATTTACGAACCTTAGTGGGCTGTTCCGATGTTCCAATTCCATCGTGTTTCAACAAAGTTTTCTCTGATTTTGCAACTTTTTTCTGAAGTTTTCTTTCTGTTTTGGATAATTTAGGAATTGTCTTGTTATCTGTCATAATGGGTAACTTTGTAAAATTTCTCTTTTGATGAACATAGAATTCTTCTTTATGCTAAACCAAGTCTGTTTGTGCAGATACTGTATGTCTTCAAGTCTTGAGCTGGTCTGTCAATCTCTCGGTCTCTGTCTCCTGTGTCACTCAGTCATTGTGTCTTTTCATGGGCGCAGCCATCTTGTTTAATCTCGAATCAACGTAATTACGATAATTATGGTTTCTGGCTAATTTGACAAGAATATTTATTTAAAAACATCAACATAATTCTGCGAATACTTGAACAAATGTAAATGATTTTTGTTTTTTGCGCTTTGCATAAAACTAAAAAAAGTTTCACAGCTTTGAGATTTTATGACGTCAATAATCGGCAAAGAGAAAAAATGGCGGCGATGAGCAGAGGAATCGATGGTCTTAAACTTTGGGAAAAATCAGGCAAATCAGAATTGTACGCAGTTTTTGTCATTTTAAATATACCTAGAATTGATTTTACTTTGGAATATAGAGTCACAAATTCTTATTCAGTCGTGTATCATGTTGAAACAGACTTGCATGTTCTCCGCTGCTTGTTTTCCTTTCTACCTGCTGGCTGCAGCATGCAGCTGAGCACATGTCTCCCCCCGTGAATTATAACGATTGTGTTAGATTACAAAAGTTGGTAAATATTATGACAGTGTTAAAGAAGAAAGATGAGAAATACTCAGAATTTGACATCTGAGGGATAGTTGTAAATCGTCAGGTCCAGCACACGCGCACAATCTCTTGATTCAGCTATATAGCTTGATAAAGCTATTTATGTGCAGTTTTTCAGAAAAATGTTTTTTTGCAAGAAATTGACAAAAAGTTGAAATTATTTGACTATTCAAATATGTACTATGGGCTATAAAAACAAGAACCAAAATCAAAGATAGTTCTAACATTGCAGCATTGAATACTTTTAAGCAAAAGATGAATTTCCATTGTTTGAGTAACTGTACACTACCTTGTGTGCGTTGACGCATGGATAAGTATTATTGCTTCTCGTACTGAATTATTACCAATCAATTATCTTGTCGACCATAATTGGCTCCTGTATAATTTCATTGAAGAAGTAACTGTATCATTAGTATCAATTATTTTATAGAGCCCCAAAACTTTTAGGACTTTGAGTACAAAGTCTCTTTAGGAGACGCAATTCGATGAGTGATTTTAACATGCATTATTTTCCGAAGAGTTCAGGCTTGAATATTATCACTGCGCCAAGGTGCGACTTTTTGTGCATGCTGAAAAAATAAAACATTTAAGAAAAAACTGATAAAATAGCTAAATTAAGCTATTCTGAATAGCTTAATAAAGCTATATAGCTAAATCAAGCTATATAGCTAAATCAAGAGATTGTGCCAGAGCTGATTGTAATATATGTAGCAGCCATTGTTTGATGATGCACGTGTCGAGTGTTTACCGCTAACTCCACAGGCACCTGAAGTGTGGATGGACCCCCCCCCCCTCATGCCCCCTTCCCGTGCATTTATTTAAAAAAAAAAAAAAACATCAGTTATTCAAATCTGTTTTGCTTTATCTGATTAGTCAATAATTCAAATGGTACTGAACAACTGTCAACAAATCAGATGAAACGAAATGAAGCAATAATTCCAAAACCTCCATTGCTGCCAATGGAGAAAATATTCCCTCCTTTTTATCGAGTTTTTCCTTACTGAAAACCTCACATAGACTTGTAAATCACTAGTTGGTTTTGCTGGTCAAGGCATCAAATATAACAGACGGGGAAAAGTGATGACCAGACTGGGAGTAGGACTCAAAATTGGGACCTCCACTAATCGAGCAGGTGCTCTACCACTGAGCTACAATTAGATGTACCCAATACCCACTGCATGCTGAATTTTAAATTCTTGTTCTACATTTTATTCAGTATGTTCAGCATTACTCTTATGGCTTTTAACCAAAAAAAAAAAAAAAAAAATCATTGAAATGTACAGTGATGTAATTTGAAAGTTTAACTACATTTTTTTTTTGTAGTATAAAGCAGTGGAGCACCCTAAAAGAGAAGAATTTTTTGATCAAGGAATCAAAGGCCCTTAAGAATGCGTTGTATCAGTTAGCGTGGAGAGTTATTGGTGGCCAGATGAAGGTAGAATCGGCCATTAGCCTCCTAGAGGAGCTTTGTGTAAGTAGAAAATCAAGGAAACCTGTTAAGATTCCTTCTAAATCTTTTAATAAAACTTAAGGAAAATTTTAAAAATGTGTTTACTCTGTACTCCTTATTTTCTCTAGAAAAATTTCTCAATTTTGATTTTTGAAAATCAATCAGAGACGCATGTCAAGGTTGTGTATTTTGTTTTGTTATATGTTGATTCTTATGATAAAAGGTTATAATGTGTAAATTACAGGGCATTGATTAACGTAGAACCTACGTCGTTTGACGTCATATCAAGTAAATGAGTTTAGACTGTCTTTTTTGATGCTAGATCCATTATGACGTCATAATTAATTTAATGTTACTTTTTCCCGTACTTTCTCCAAGACTGTCTCATGTAATGAAGTTACACAACTGTGATAATGCGAATGGCATGCAACTATTTTGAAGGCAATCAGAAATCGCAAGAAATCTAAATAGTACAATATCTTGATGAAATGTGTCGGAGTCAAAGATCTGTTAAAAATTTTGTGTAAATTTTGTAATGTCTATCATGAAATGACGTGCATTCCCTTTCATAATTATTTGTTAATTATTCATAATGGTTGGTGTATAAAAATAATGTTTCCCTAAAACATGTAAAATATTTTCTTTTTAAATAAAAAAATTACATTTTTTAAAATAAATATTCACATTGTAAATCTGAACGTTATGTTATTACCCCAAAACGGTCATTTAATAATAAAATCCTGTGTAAGTGCAAAAAGGTCAACAAAAGAAGTATTGATAAATAGTGTCTCTCATTCGTTTGCAGTGAAAGGTATATATTTTAATCACTTTTTGTAATTATTTGGGTTTGATCTTCATCATATTAAAGATTGAAAAAACATTCTGACAAAGACTTTTGAAAAATATTTACAAATTTAGGTGGTAAATTGACTCAAAAAATATTGGGCGCATTTGCCTACATTTGTTGAAATGTGGACTTAATCTTTTATGTCAATTGAATAAAACAGAATTTATTCTTGAATAATATTGCTTAATACGGTTCAGTTAATAAAGTCTATAAACGACGATGTTTGAAGAAGTATTTTTGTGATTTTCTATATTCCTTCTATGACCAGTACCCCTAAAAATGACTGAAAATATGTAGTCGCAGTGTAAGATTGTCATTCCAAGTTGCACAGGCTGCACTACATTTAGTTACAAGGAAACATACCATATATTTTTAACTGATTGATAAGCGAGTGCTAATATATCATTTTGAAAAGTTTGAAAATCTTGTGACAAAGACTTTTCCGACATAGGTTCTACCTTAAATAGCTATTACTCGGTATAATTTCTGGTTTCTGAGGAAATAGTCACAGATTTCTTGTTCCAGTAAGCTGTCACCCTAAAAGTAGGGAAAGAACATTGCTAAAAAAAGATAAATGGGAAAATGTGGAATCTACATTTATTAATATTTTTATTTTCATTCAATAGGAAAGTGTTAAAGAACTCCCTGTTGCAATTGCAGATGCCTTTGCTATCCTAGGTATGTATAAACAATAATTTAAAGATGTTACTTAATTCCAATGATTATCAGATTCTTAGGTCATTTAACAGGAAGTTAACCTATCAGTTTTGGTTTTTAGATGTTGAGCTGTCAGTTTCTGATGATAATGCTCAGAGGGACAAGTTTATCTCCCTTGTCACAGGATGTGAGGTAGTTATTTTGTGAAAAAGTGTACTATGTGTAAGTTTATTGTAAAGTACTCAAGTCATAATTGTTGATGTGGTGTCCGTAACTGTTTCACTAATCCTTCAATATTGCCATCAAAATGATGAAATTTCAGTGTGTTAATGCCCAGAATTAATCAGTAAAACTATAAAATGCAATAACCGATATCTCTTGAATTGTTTTCAATAAAATTTAACTAGATACAAAAGCATGAAAATGCTCTGGGAATAATTTTGTTTTTTTATTGTGATTTGTTATAGAAAATGGTGGCTGCTTCTATTCTGAAAGAGAGATTAGATCAAGAGACATTAGAGTCCCTTGGTCTTTTGTCATCAAAGACTCAGTTTAATCAGAAATATGTTAAAACAAAAACAAAGCTCTAGTGAGTATAAAGCAAAACTCAATTATAAAACTACATTTTCATGAGCTTGAGATCAAAATGATTATAAATATACAAATTTTAATGTTGAACCATGGACTATTTCCTTTTGACTTTCATTATTCAAGAAGTTTCATTTTTATTTTAAATGTTTATTTTTAAAAGGATATTTGTTATGAAGGTTGTAAAATTTTTAAGCACCATTACAAAATTATTTTTCAGTTACAAACAAAAGAAGTTTAATTTGTTGAGAGAAGAAAGTGAGGGATATGCCAAATTGATCACAGAGCTGAATCAGGACATAACAGAGAAGATAACTGTAGAACAAAGTGTAGAAAATCTCAAATCTCTTATAGGTAAGGTCATGTATAGTAACTGTTACTAAATGTCATACACTTATAGGTCATGTATAGTTACCATTACTAAATGTCATACACTTATAGGTCATGTATAGTTACCATTACTAAATGTCATACACTTATAGGTCATGTATAGTTACTGTTACTGAATATCATACACATCTAGGTAGGTCATGTATAGGAACTGTTACTACATGTAAATGTCATACACTTATAGGTAGGTCATGTAAAGTAACTGTTACTAAATGTCATACACTTATAGGTAGGTCATGTATAGTAACTGTTACTAAATGTCATACACTTATAGGTAGGTCATGTATCCTAAACTGTTACTAAATGTCATACACATATAGGTAGGTCATGTAAAGTAACTGTTACTAAATGTCATACACTTATAGGTAGGTCATGTAAAGAAACTGTTACTAAATGTCATACACTTATAGGTAAGTCATGTAAACTGTTACTAAATGTCATACATTTATAGGTAGGTCATGTATAGTATCTGTTACTAAATGTCATACACTTATAGGTAGGTCATGTATAGTAACTGTTACTAAATGTCATACACTTATAGGTAGGTCATGTATAGTAACTGTTACTAAATGTCATACACTTACAGGTAGGTCATGTAAACTGTTACTAAATGTCATACATTTATAGGTAGGTCATGTATAGTAACTGTTACTTAATGTCATACACTTATAGGTAGGTCATGTATAGTAACTGTTACTAAATGTCATACACTTATAGGTAAGTCATGTAAACTGTTACTAAATGTCATACACATATAGGTAGGTCATGTAAAGTAACTGTTACTAAATGTCATACACTTATAGGTAGGTCATGTAAACTGTTACTAAATGTCATACACTTATGTCATGTTTAGTAACTGTTACTAAATGTCATACACTTATAGGTAGGTCATGTATAGTAACTGTTACTAAATGTCATACACTTACAGGTAGGTCATGTAAACTGTTACTAAATGTCATACATTTATAGGTAGGTCATGTATAGTAACTGTTACTTAATGTCATACACTTATAGGTAGTTCATGTATAGTAACTGTTACTAAATGTCATACACTTATAGGTAAGTCATGTAAACTGTTACTAAATGTCATACACTTATAGGTAGGTCATGTAAAGTAACTGTTACTAAATGTCATACACTTATAGGTAGGTCATGTAAACTGTTACTAAATGTCATACACTTATAGGTAGGTCATGTTTAGTAACTGTTACTAAATGTCATACACTTATAGGTAGGTCATGTAAAGTAACTGTTGTTTTGTTTTGAACATATTTTATTGACAATGTGTCAAAGGGATTGGACACAAGTTCTAAAAACTTAGATAGTCCTCTCCCATACATAAAATCTTAATAGCCATACAACATATACAAAGATTTACAATTTTACAATATTATACATGAACGTAGAAGAACAAAGACAATAGTTATTATTGCTAAGGAATATCAGTTGATATAATGATGATTATAATGACGTCAATAACCATATTAAAATAGTTTCAAAAGGTAGTAAATACAAGTACATGTAAGTGTTAATTGAAACGACCAGTATCCTGAATAAATTTTTGAACAATACCAAATATTTTTTCATTTTCCTGCAAAGATAACGATTCATCTCCCCATAGCAGTCTATGCACATTTAACATTTTTACATTATTAATTACAAGTAATGCATTCAACATTAAACGTCTAGCTACAAGATATTTTCTACACACAAAGAAATAATGATGACTATCCTCCTTATATCCACAAAAACAATTTGGATTCGTTATAATGTTACATCTATACAAGTCATGATTTAAAATACAATTGTGCCTTAATCTTGTATGTAAAATGTTCAAATACCTTTTGCCGTATGATAGATACTTGGGAGGCTTGTCATTATTATTATTCAATTTTCTTTTAAAAATTAACTGTTACTAAATGTCATACACTTATAGGTAGGTCATGTAAACTGTTACTAAATGTCATACATATAGGTAGGTCATGTAAAGTAACTGTTACTAAATATCATACACCTATAGGTAGATCATGTATCCTAAACTGTTACTAAATGTCATACACATATAGGTAGGTCATGTAAAGTAACTTTTACTAAATGTCATACACTTATAGGTAGGTCATGTAAACTGTTACTAAACAGGTTGGGGGAAAACGTAAATTCCGCTATAATAGTGGTATACCACTATTATAGTGAGATTCCGCTATATTTTCAGCCGTAGTTGTCCTCGATTTCATCAAATAACATACTTGCTGTTTAAAGCGCAAGTTATGATGGGAATAAAAATGAACAATAATTGGCATCCTTACATATTATGAATTTTATTTAAATTTCTGCCGATGCGTTTGATAATGCGAACACACTTTTTAAAGCGGAAGTTACATTTTTAACATAGCAACCAGTGATTGCGGTAGTATTGAACAAAGACTGACTCTTAATATCTCTCACACATGTGCACAAATTAGTGCTTGTAATAACTTTCAACTCATTTTGGAATAGGTTTGTCGAATTTATAGAAGAAAAGGTGATTTTTGCCTGCATGGTAACGGGTATGGAGGCTCGTTATGACAAATGAAAAAAAAGCTCAGCACATGTACATTTTAAAGGAACCGATTTGTGTCGTCTAAATTGTAATAAATATATATAATATGTCACTTTTCGAAGTAATCTTAAGTTTGTGTATAATGTTTCCTTTCTTGACGATGAATCCATGAATTTAAATGATTATTCTTAGCAAGAAAAGAAGAATTACACTTGTGCATGGAATTACCTGTAGACGTGACGTAAAATAAATTCTGCACGATTTATTGATTCTCTAACTTGCATGAAATTTTATATTTAACTACGATATACACTGGAAAAGAAACAATGAAATCCTATTTACCAGAAGTAGATTATTCTGTTGTAAATAAACGAAATACAAGGAGAAACAGAAATATGAAGATAACGAAAAAAGGCAATCTGAGCAATAATTTTTTTGCAGAGCGAATAGGTAGGATAAGGTGCTATGGAGGATTACGCATCCCTTGTCGAACATGGACTTTGCAAAATTCATTTATTAATAGTTATCATGAATTAGTGCATCGTTGTCTCGCCACAGCCGCTAAAATATTAAGCCCGCTTTTTTAACTACAAAGAAGCCATTATATGCACATTGAATTGTTTTCGCGTACGGTTATTTTTTCGTTTTTTTTTTTCCTATCACGACAAGGAACACACTTGTCGGCTGGGGATGCTCACTCCTCCATGACACCTGATCCCATCTTTGATGTTTTTTAGAGGTTCGTGTTTGCTCTGTTTAATATTTTCATTGTTTCAAAGGACTTTTGAGATTGATTACTGTTTGTTATCTTCATATTTCGTACAGTATTTCAAGCAAATTGAAAAAAAAATTGAACCCATTTAGTTTATTTTCTGTCGTAAAGTGCAAAAAATTTGAGTGAATTACATTATATTTTTCTTACATCTATTTATTAGCTCACCTGAGCTGAAAGCTCAAGTGAGCTTTTCTGATCACATTTTGTCCGGCGTCCGTCTGTCCGTCTGTCTGTCCGTCTGTCCGTCCGTCTGTCCGTCTGTCTGTCTGTAAACTTTTCACATTTTCAACTTCTTCTCAAGAACCACTGGGCCAAATTCAACCAAACTTGCCACAAAGCATCCTTGGGTAAAGGGGATTCAAGTTTGTTCAAATGAAGGGCCACGCCCTCTTTCAAGGGGAGATAATTAGGAATTAGTGAAAAAATAATGGCATCATTTAAAAATCTTCTTCTCAAGAACCACTGGGCCAGGAAAGATGAAACTTATGTGGAAACATCCTCAGGTAGTGTAGATTCAAGTTTGTTCAAATCATGACCCCCGGGGGTAGGGTGGGGCCACAATGGGGGATCCAAGTTTTACATAGAAATATATAGGAAAATATCTTTAAAAATCTTCTTCTTAAGAACAGTAAAGCCAAGATGTCATATTTATATGGAAGCATCCTCAGGTAGTGTAGATTCAAGTTTGTTCAAATCATGACCCCCGGGGGTAGGGTGGGGCCACAATGGGGGATCCAAGTTTTACATAGAAATATATAGGAAAATATCTTTAAAAATCTTCTTCTTAAAAACAGCAAAGCCATGATTGGTCATATTTTTATGGAAGCATCCTCAGGTAGTGTAGATTCAAGTTTGTTCAAATCATGACCCCCGGGGGTAGGGTGGGGCCACAATGGGGGATCCAAGTTTTACATAGAAATATATAGGAAAATATCTTTAAAAATCTTCTTCTTAAGAACAGTAAAGCCAAGATTGGTCATATTTATATGGAAGCATCCCCAGGTAGTGTAGATTCAAGTTTGTTCAAATCATGACCCCCGGGGGTAGGGTGGGGCCACAATGGGGGATCCAAGTTTTACATAGAAATATATAGGAAAATATCTTTAAAAATCTTCTTCTTAAGAACAGCAAAGCCAAGATTGGTCATATTTTTATGGAAGCATCCTCAGGTAGTGTAGATTCAAGTTTGTTCAAATCATGTCCCCCGGGGATAGGGTGGGGCCACAATGGGGGATCCAAGTTTTACATAGATATATATAGGAAAATATCTTTAAAAATCTTCTTCTTAAGAATAGCAAAGGCTAGAATGGCTACATAATGACACATAAATTGATGTAGCTTTCATCAGAAACGTGTCATTAACATTTTTGCCGTATTTATACCCTGTCACAAAACTGCATTTAATTTTGATGTGCTGTATAATGTTTCATTAGCTTGAATCTATATACACAGTCATGGAAATATTGCTGTATGTTTATACTGTTTTACTAAGGTTGTTTTGACCTGGATCCTAACCGAGTGTTGGACATTTTACTGGAGTCGTTTGAGTGTCGACCACATCTAGAGAACTTTTACGTCCCGCTGTTTAAGGAGTATGTCACAGAGAGAAAAACACTCTGTCATATCCTTGGCTTCAAATTCCACTTCTATAAGGTTAGCGCAAGATTGTGTTTCAAATCTGACTTTTAAAAATTTGTAGCTGTTTTGTGCGTTTATAAATTCTAGATGAAAACATTTCCACACCAGTAGTCCAATACTGATTTAATGTCTGGTAAATTTTATTAACAAAATGGGATTTAAGACAAATCTTAGTTTTCTATCTTATTTAGTCCAGTTTTATATCGTATAAATTTTTACTGCAGGATGAAGAAACTCCTACTAGTTTATATAGGGTGGCAGCCTTATTACTACGACATGATCTAATTGATCTGGAAACGCTGTACGGTCATGTGAGTATACTCTTGAACATTTCTAGAATCTGAATTTTTATGGTCCTACATCAACTGAAAGTAGGTTTTTTCTTCATTACTTTACTGTAATAGGTAAATAATGACAACAGGGTTAGGGTTAGGGTTTATGATTTTGCATCATAAAGTAAAAATTATGGTCTCTTGTCACATAAGGCAGTGAGTCACTTAGTATAGTTTTTATCTGTAGAAAATAATGTTGGGCAGGACTAGATATTATGATAGATCACTAAATTTTCCCAACACCTTATTTTCAAGAAATATTCATTTACTCTTTATTAGTGAAACAAAATTTTCATGAATTGTTGTTGTTGCTTTTCGCGAACACAATGTCTTGCGTAATTAAGCAAAAATAAACTTCTCACGAATGAAAAGTGATTTACAGTATCACATATGATAGAGTCATTAATACAGAAAGTTGCTATGGCAGTCTAGACTGTATAATGCAATGCAGCTAAATTTCAGATTAAATTTTTTGTTTTTTAATTGTAGTTGCTACCTGCAGATGCTAAGATTAAGGAGTATCATCAGAAAGAAGTGGACGAGGCCAAGGCATACGCTCGGAAACTCAGCGTAGTCAGTCTGGCTGAGAAATCGGAGGAATCCAAGGAAACGGAGACGGTCAAGGTTGATCTGGTAGGTCAGAGGTCAGACTGTCCTTACAAAGGGTCTATGCAGTGTGAGAGAGATATATAACATGTACAATGTATATACATGTACATGTACTTTATCATACATTATTAAATGGTCAGGAATTTTGATGCTGTCTGATTGGTCTAGACGCCCTTTCCTGAGATGTACCTCAGAGTGAGTTCACCTCAAAATGATGTTCCAGGAGGTTTAATGGGTTTTCCCTCTTGACCAACCATAGATTTGCTCACATTTTTTTACCAGTCAAATTGCACGTTTTAAAGCAAGTGTCCTTGTGAATGTAAATATGGCACACGCCAGTACCGAACAGACTGAACACCTTTCTTAGTAAATAGTTGAGAATTTATTGTATAATTATAATGTGTTGTTATACCTATAAGTGTTTATATTTGTTTGAGACACGAAGTGAACGTAAGTGTCAAAATGTTTTAAAATTCCTGATCCTTTAATAAAACGGTTATTGACTTTTGAATTCGGTCTACTTGTGGTTATATGGATGTGGTCAGGTATAGATAAACCTCGACCTTCGGCCTTGGTCAACCAATACCTGACCAGGTCCGTATAGTCACAAGTACACCTCATCAAAAGTCAATAATTATATATTATCCTTGTAAAAAGAAAAAAAACTTACAACTACTGATTGATTAACATTTAAGGTGCATAAGCTACCCTTACATGTATACCCAAAGTATATGCATCTCATTTGAGAAGCTGATAAAGAGATTGTGCTTAACTTACAGGATCAGAGTGCAAACATGCAGAAAATGCTCATTTTTATGATAATTTTAAATAATCTTTTATTCATTAGTATGTGACAAATCAGAAGCTTGGATTGACTGAGGCACTGCTCAGCCTAGGGGTGTGGGGCAAAGCAAAGGAGATCTTAGACAAACTGCCAGAATTCTTCGGCACAGTCCACAAACAGATTGCTACAGGACTGTGTAATATGGTGCACTGTATGATGGATTCACTATATAAAGAGTAAGTACATGAGTACTTCTTGCTTATATGCTGAAGACTTCAGTGAATTGTTGGAGCGAATAGTCTTATAAAATTCTATGATGAAATATTTGAAATAAGTGCTTTCACAAGGAGTTTGCTAAATAAAGGGTATAATATGAAACAATGCAAATTGACATATTCATTCTGATTGTGATTTTTCCACAGTAATGCAGGCCTGCCCAGGAAAATTCTAAAAGGGAAGTTGTCTGGTGATAAGAATCTGATTAAGAATATACAGGAAGTGGGTTCGTACCGGGCACTGCACACTGAAGTGTTTCCTATCATGCGATACATCGGTCCTTATGCCTCGTGTGATCCCGTGTTATTAGTCAAGTTCATAAGGCTTGGTAAATGTTTTATGACCAAGGTAAGTAACTGGTGTAATGTAAATTATTCAGAATAATAATTTTGTGTTGTAGAGTTCTTGATGTCCTTAGATTGAAAGGTCAGCTGTAGCTTCTGAGAAATGTTTTCATTCATTATGTGCACACAAATGTACACTGTACTTGTACTTTAAAAATCAGAGACATTTGAAACTTTGTATTTTCATTTGCATTACAGCATTTTTAACAAGATGCTATAATACTTGTATGTTAATTTTGTTATTTCCCCTATCTGTGTATTGTGTGGCTGTTTACAGAGGCAGAATGGAGGTGTAACACCAGAGGATGACGTGGCATATTACGGATTTCTGAACATCCTAGACGAGGTGCTATTACCCAGTATGTCTATGCTACCATGTAACTGTTGTCTGTCAGAGGAACTCTGGACCTTCCTCAAACTCTTCCCTTATGAACTCAGGTAAACTACATGAATTTTTTTCATTTACCTGTAGGCTAGCAAACTCTCAGATCAACCCTCATTAAAATTTAATTTCTCTGGAAAAGATGACACACTTTTTTTAAACTGTTGATGGACAGAAAAATAAAAATCACACAAAGCTAGTACAGCAAAGATTTAAAAATAATAGCTGAATGAGGAAAATTTTATTTACATATATGTAACATAGTGATTATTTACATGTATTATCTGAGTTATGATGTGCAGAAGTTTTTATGAGCCTATACATATTTAGGTATCGCCTGTATGGGAATTGGAAGAACGACACCTACAGCCAGCATCCTAAACTCGTCCGAGTCCGGGCTGACTGTCTAGAGCGAGCTAAATACCTCATGAAGTGAGTACAGCATGATACAAGACAAATCAAAGATATATCTATTTCTTTCAGAGTTCATTTACCAAAGACAAACTCAAAACTTTGTAAATTAAGACATTATGTCATATTAATACCAGGTAATCTTATATCTCTTGTAAATGTAAATAATGTTTATACCATTTAATTTTGTTTGATTTTTCCAGACGTCTTTCAAAAGAAAATGTGAAGCCATCAGGGAGACAGTTAGGAAAACTCAGCCACAGTAACCCAGGGGTCCTGTTTGAATATGTAAATATCATCCTTTTCCTGAGATCACTGTATTTCATTTGTCCTTGGTTTTTAAGTTGACAGGTGCCCTGATTCTATAAATTCCTCTTTGTAGGTTCTCTCTCAGATCCAGACACATGATAATTTTATTGGTCCAGTGGTAGACTCACTGAAGTACTTAACATCCCTCTCCTATGACATGCTGGCCTGTATCCTTTCTTAATCTAGACAAAACTTCATTGTTTGTAGCGCAGTCATTAGCTCAGTCACTGCAAATGCTTCGGAGAATCAAGGCAGCATTTATCATCATGAAATGGGGCCACAGAGGGTACAGACTGTGGATGTTGTTGACATGTGCCTACAGCTTAGTTAGGACCACAGCAGAAAATATCCAGGGGAATTTAATTTGTCATGCACTTTTTATTTTGATGTAAATATACTTAATTTTGTTGTTTTTGTGAAGATGACATTGATAATATTTGTAGTTTGTGTGTCTGAGTTTTGGTGAAGATCAGACTTTGTGTCACATTGATGCATTTTTTAATACTTTGTCACTTGATCAATAATCAGCTTTTAATCAGTGCATTATTCATTCCCTAACTGACTACAGACTGTATTATTGATGCTCTGGCCAACCCTGACAAAAGCAGGATGAAGTATGACGATACAAACATATCAAAGTGGCTACAGAGTATGGGAATTTCTTTAATTTATACATTAACAGTTTTAACTTGTACATGTACATGAAATTGATTAATTTGGAATTTCAGTAAAATTTCTGTTATTGATGTATGTCAATATTTTATTGCAAATATCTCTGTTAATACAATGACTGACTTGCCACATGGTTGACATTCTCAGTAGTCTTCATTTCTGACTTTTACAGGTCTTGCAAACTTTGCTGGTTGTATATGTAGGAAATACCAAGTAGACTTGGCTGGGCTGATGCAATATGTGGCAAATCAACTCAAAGCTGGCAAAAGGTACACAGTGTGTCAAAAAATTGTACTCCATATTTAGCCCCTGTTCTGTTGTTGCTTTCAGTATACCTGATGTGAACTTTCTGTTTTTTGTAGTTTTGACCTGTTGCTGTTGCGTGAGGTAGTCACTAAAATGGCCGGTATAGAAATCTCAGAGGAAATCACAGATGACCAGCTTGATGCCATGTCTGGTGGAGAACTTCTCAGACAGGAGGTAATGAATGTCTGACTTTCACAATGGCAAAGACATAGCTTTTGCATCCGTTTCATTTTATACTTTATCTTGTGTATTAAGCAGGTAAAACTGTTTTTTTTTCCCCGTTTTCCGAGATTCTATAATAAGGAAGATATGAAATTTTAGGGTGGATATTTTGCTCAAGTGAGGAACACAAAGAAGTCATCCACAAGATTAAAAGACTCACTGCTAGAACATGACCTGGCTTTGGCTCTGTGTATCTTAATGTCTCAGCAGCGAGACAGCGTGATTTACGAAGAGAGCACAGAGAGTCATCTCAAACTCGTTGGAAAACTGTATGATCAGGTACGGTTCAGAATTAGTCAATGATTAGGTACTGTACACATGTAGTTCAAAATTACTCTATTATCAGATTCCATACAGTTCAGAAATACTCTATGGTCAGGTACAGTACAGTTCAAAATTTGTCTATGATTACTGATAGGTACAGCACAAATCAAAAGTTCTTTATCATTAAGTACAGATGAAAATGCTCTGTGATCTTTTACAGAGCAGATCATTAACACTTTGTAATCAGGTAGGGCACATACAGATACAGTAAAAAACTTTATTATTTCTGAATACTAGTGTACACTGTTAATTATGAATGATATCCAGTTTTTTGTTTCGTTTCAGTGCCCAGACATGTTGGTTCAATTTGGGAGTTTTCCACATGTATCTTATGTATAAATTTTGTGTTTCAGTGCCAAGACACTCTGGTTCAGTTTGGGAGTTTCCTGTCTATGCAGTTGAGCACAGAGGAGTTTGTGAAGAGACTGCCTACAATTGATACGCTGATCACGACGTATCATGTACCGGCTGATGCTGCCTTCTTCTTATGCCGTCCACAGTACACCTATGCAATCAATGTAAGCATTTACATTTCATTGTTTGATGTTTATGTAGATAATCAAGTCTTATCAGTTTTTAAGTATGTGTATATTTAAGTTCATAACCAGCAGAAAATAAATCAGTTGTAAAAGAACAAGTACATGTATATGTATGATTTATACAGCAGTTTGCCATCTTAAATGAAACTTTGAAATTAAAGTTTAAGCAATTGATGTACTGTTGTCGTTAAAATTTTAAAACTTTAATTTCCTACTAAAAATGTTAAGAACTTATCGATTTAAGTGGACTCTTTTGTGATTACAGTCTAAGTTTGATGAACTTCGCAAAATGGACAAAAATAACAAACAGTCTGGAAGCCAGTTAAAGGTACAGTAACTGTTCTCTTTTTGTCAAAGTCTTCATTATTTATTATGCCCCGCCATGAATATGGCCGGGGCATATAGTGTTTGTCATGTCCGTCTTCCGTCCTTCCGTCCTTCTGTCCTTCCGTCCTTCCGTCTGTCCTTCCGTCACACTTTGCGTTTAGCTCTGTTCAAAGCTCAGTTTCAAAGAAACTATCCAAGATATTTTTATCAAACTTCATATGCTGATAGATATTGATGAGGGCTATGCAACTGCATCAACATTTTTTGACCTTGACCTTTCCTTTGACCTTGACCTCACTTTTCTTAAATTAGTGTTTAGCTCAGTTTTAAAGATACCATTCAAGATAGTGTAATCAAACTTCATATGTTGATACATACTGATGTAAGCTATTCAATTGCATCAACATTTTTTTGACCTTGACCTTTATTTTGACCTTGACCTCACTTTTCTTAAATTAATGTTTAGCTCTGTTTTAATGAAACCATTCAAGATATTTTTAACAAACTTCATATGCTGATACATACTGATGAGAGCTATTCAACTGCATCAATATTTTTTACCTTGACCTTTCCTTTGACCTTGACCTCACTTTTCTTAAATAAGTTTTTAGCTCAGTTTTAAAGATACCATTCAAGATAGTGTTATCAAACTTCATATGCTGATACATACTGATGAGAGCTATTCAACTGCATCAACATTTTTTGACCTTGACCTTTCCTTTGACCTTGACCTCACTTTTCTTAAATTAGTGTCAAACTTCATATGCTGATACATACTGATGAGAGCTATTCAACTGCATCAATATTTTTTGACCTTGACCTTTCCTTTGACCTTGACCTCACTTTTCTTAAATTAGTGTTTAACTCAGTTTTAAAAAAACCATTCATAATATTTTCATCAAACTTCATATGCTGATACATACTGATGAGAGCTATTCAACTGCATCAACATTTTTTGACCTTGACCTTTCCTTTGACCTTGACCTCACTTGTCTTAAATTAGTGTCAAACTTCATATGCTGATACATACTGATGAGAGCTATTCAACTGCATCAATATTTTTTTACCTTGACCTTTCCTTTGACCTTGACCTCACTTTTCTTAAATTAGTGTTTAGCTCAGTTTTAAAGAAACCATTCATAATATTTTCATCAAACTTCATATGCAAATACATACTGATGTAACCTTTTCAACTGCATCAACATTTTTTGACCTTGACCTTTCCTTTGACCTTGACCTCACTTTTCTTAAATTAGTGTCAAACTTCATATGCTGATACATACTGATGAGAGCTATTCAACTGCATCAATATTTTTTTACCTTGACCTTTCCTTTGACCTTGACCTCACTTTTCTTAAATTAGTGTTTAGCTCAGTTTTAAAGAAACCATTCATAATATTTTCATCAAGCTTCATATGCTAATACATACTGATGTAACCTTTTCAACTACATCAACATTTTTTGATCTTGACCTTTCCTTTGATCTTGACCTCACTTTTCTTAAATTAGTTTCTGAATCAAACGTCATATGCTGATACATACTGATGTAAGCTATTCAACAGCAGCAATATTTTTTGACCTTGACCTTTCCTTTGACCTTGACCTCACTTTTCTCAATTTGTGTTAAAATGTTGCATTACTAATATACCCTTGGCGGGGCATTCATGTCCTATGGACATATTTCTAGTTTTTTATTAGTGTCAGCTACAGTTTTTATTTGCAAAGAGGTATCATATTTGACCATTATTTAATCTTTGTAGCAACAACGGTATATTGAGGCAGCAGAAGAGGTGATGAACCCGGTGGTGGAACTGATACAGCCGATATATAATCCACGAGTGTGGGAGGACCTCAGGTAGGAAATTGCTTGAGATGGAAGAAATTCATGCTAATAATAAAGCTACAGTCAAACTTTGTTATCTCAGAGTTGATGGCGATGAGAAAAAACATAGATATTGGAGCATATTTTAGATATTGAGGGTAAAATTCATAAGTGGTTGGTACTTCCAACTCTGTTGGACATATCCTATGTATTATGTCTCCCCTTCCAGGGGAGACATATTGTTTTTGTCGATTTTCTTCTTCTTCTTCTTCTTCTTCTTCTTCTTCTTCTTCTTCATCCAAATTTTGTCCAGGCCGTAACTTTAATACCCTTTGACATTAAGACTTCAAACTTGGAACATAGATAGATGACATTGAGAAGGAGTGCACACCACCAACATTTTGACCTTGACCTATTTATAAGGGCAAGGTCAATCTTTTACATCAAAATAGAGTTCAGCCCATAACTTGAGATCCCTTTGATATTAGGACTTCAAACTTGTAACATAGGAAGAAGACCTTGAGACAAAATGCACTGCATTAGAATTTTGACCTTGACCCCTTTCTGCCTTCAAGGTCAAATAAGGAAAAACACGATCTGGCCATAACTTGAGAACCTTTTGACATTAAGACTTCAAACTTGGAACATGCAGAGGTGGTATAAAGAAGGGATGCATGCCACCAAAATTTTTGACCTTGATTCAATTATTATAAGGTCAAGGTCAATCTTTTACATCAAAATAGAGTCCAAGCCATAGCTTGAGTACCCTTTGATATTAGGACTTCAAACTTGTAACAGAGAAAGAAGACATTGATACAAGATGCAACACACCAAAATTTTTGACCTTGACCTCTTTTCTTCCTCAAGGTCAAATAGCGAAAAAACTTGATTAGACCATTCCTTTGTTATAAAGACTTCAGACCTGGAACATGCAGAACTGGTATGAAGGAGGGATGCATGCCACCAAAATTTTTGACCTTGATCCAATTATTATAATGTCAAGGTCAATCTTTTACATTAAAATAGAGTCCAGGCCTTAGCTTGAGTATCCTTTGATATTAGGACTTCAAACTTGTAACATAGAAAGAAAACATTGTTACAAGATGCAACGCTTCAAAATTATGACCTTGACCCCTTTCTTCAAGGTCAGATAGAGAAAACATGACTAGACCATAACTTGAGAACCCTGACATTAAGACTTCAAACTTGGAAAATGGAGAGGTGGTATAGAGGAAGGGTGAATGGCAACATTTTTTTCACCTTGACCTATTAATAAAGTCAAGGTCAATCATTAACATGAAAATATAGTCTAGGTCATAACTTGAGAACTTTTTGACATTAGGATTTCAAACTTGGAACAAGGAAAGACAACATCGAGACTAAATGCACTGCATCAAAATATTTGACCTTGACCACTTTCTTCAAGGTCAAATTAAGAAAAACACAACCAGACCATTACTTGAGATCCGTTTGACATGAAGACTTGAAATTTTGTACACAGAATTTGAGTTGAGATGCACTGCATTATTATTTTTGACCCTGATCATATATTTGCACTCGTTAATGTTGGTAAAGAAGGGGAGGCATGTGTTTTTTGTAAAAAAAACAATACCCACTAGTTCAATTTTGAACATATCAAATTTTAAATGTACATGGATATCTTTTTTTTTTTTTTACCCATTATTAGAAAACAAGGCATTACAGGATATATTTTCACAGTTACAGATGTCACATGCTATTGGCTACACTGATGTTTTACTGTGTATGATATGGACGTTGACTGTATGTGTGAACAAGGTGTTGTTTTTCTCTTTTCAGTGCCACATTCTTTGTGACATTTTGGTCCATGTCTATGTATGATGTTGCTGTGCCTACAAATGTGTATGATAAACAGATACAACAGCTTAGTGCCCAGATAACAGCTATAGAGGACAATGAAGATCTGGTATGTAATACATGTAGATCCAATACCTGCATCAAAATAAATCCAATACCTACATCAAAATTTTCTTGTGGTCATATTTCTTAAATACCAAACTCATCAAACTTTCATCCCTTTAGGACAACCATGATAACTTTTCAGTTCATACCTTGTTGCTTAAAAATTTCAATTTTAACTGTCATCTCTACATGTACAGTGTATATTCAAAGAAGTGTTGTATGTACATGTGGTGTACTGTTAGTAAATTCAGGTCTCACAGTGTATCATTCTCAAATTCAAATTTTCTCCCCAGTACATGAATATTGAATATTACTTTGTGAAAATCAGAATATTTTCAAAAAAAATTTGTGAAAATCACTACCGACAATAACCTCGTTTTTCCTCTGCTTTTCTCAGCCCCAGAGTAAAAAGAAGAAGGAGAAAGAGAGATGCAGCAGTCTGATCGCCAAACTGAAGGATGAAATGAAGAAACAGGGAGACCATTGTAGCCGTGTGATGGCTCGACTGAAGGCACAAAGAGACTCCTGGTTCATTTCTAGTAAGTAAAATAGAGATGGTGTTACATATATGTGATGGGAAGATGGAAGTAATCTTGAGATTTGTGGTTTATTTCCAGTAAGTAAAACATTGATGTTGTGAAATGAGGTTATATTTTGGGTATGCTAAAAACTCATTATGACAATTAATTTTTAGGTCACCTGAGTCACTCAGGTGACCTATTGCTATCCGTTCTCGTCCGTCGGCGTGCGTCGTGCGGTGTGCGTCGTGTGTTAACATTTGAACATTTTTAGCTTCTTCTCTGAAACCGCTTAACCAATTTCAACCAAATTTGGCATATAGCACCTATGGGTGAAGGGGAACAAAAATTGTGAATTCCATGGTCCCTGCCCCCCTGGGGCCTGAGGGGTGGGGCTAAAACCACCAAAAATAATGCAATCTTTAAAAATCTTCTTCTTTACTCCTGGACATCAAGCAGTCAAACTGTTGGCATCATTATAATAAGCATTGAGTCCTCTACCAAAATTGTGAAATTCATGGCCCCAGGGTCAGGGGTTCTGGTGCTAGGGTGGGGCTATATAGATCATATAGGGAAAGTGCATTATTTCTTTGAAAATCTTCTTCTCTGCTCCTGGGTATTAAATAAAGTAACTAAGTACATAGTTATGAAGAACAAGAGTGCCTCTTTCAAAATTGTGAAATTCATGGCCCCAGGATCAGGGGTTCTGGTGTTAGGGCGGGGCTCTATTGATTATATAGAGAAAATGCATTAATTCTTTGAAAATCTTCTTCTCTGCTCCTGGGTATTAAATAAATTTACTAAGTATATAGTTATGATGAGCAAGAGTGCCTCTTTCAAAATTGTGAATTTCATGGCAGCTGGGTCAGGGGTTCTGGTGTTAGGGCAGGGCTCTATTGAGTATATAGTGAAAATGTATTAATTCTTTGAAAATCTTCTTCTCTGCTCCTGGGTATTAAATAAAGTAACTTAGTACATATTTATGATGAGCAAGAGTGCCTCTTCCAAAATTGTGAATTTCATGGCCCCAGGGTCAGGGGTTCTGGTGTTAGGGCGGGTCTCTATTGATTATATACATTAGTTAAAATGCATTAATTCTTTGAAAATCTTCTTATCTGCTCCAGGGTATTAAATGAACTAATTTAGTACATAGTTATGATGAGCAAGAGTGCCTCTTCCAAAATTGTGAATTTCATGGCCCCAGGGTCAGGGGTTCTGGTTTTAGGGCGGGTCTCTATTGATTATATTGTTAAAATGCATTAATTCTTTGAAAATCTTCTTATCTGCTCCTGGTTATTAAATGAACTAATTTAGTACTTAGTTATAATGAGCAAGAGTGCCTCTTCCAAAATTGTGAATTTCATGGCCCCAGGGTCAGGGGTTCTGGTGTTAGGGCGGGGCTCTATTGATTATATAGTGAAGATGCATTAATTCTTTGAAAATCTTCTTATCTGCTCTTGGATATTAAATGAACTAAGTTAGTACATATTTATGATGAGCAAGAGTGCCTCTTCTGAAATTATGAATTTCATGGCCCCAGGGTCAGGGATTCTGGTGTTAGGGTGGGGCTCTATTGATTATATAGTGAAAAGGCATTAATTCTTTGAAAATCTTCTTCTCTGCTCCTGGGTATTAGATAAACTAACTTAGTATATAATTATGATGAGCTAGAGTGCCTCTTTCAAAATTTTGAATTTCATGGCCCCAGGATCAGGGGTTCTGGTGTTAGGGCAGGGCTCTATTGATTATATAGTAGAATTGCAATAATTTTCTCTGCTCCTGGGTATTAAGTACATAGTTATGAAGAACAAGAGTGCCTCTTTCAAAATTGTGAATTTCATGGCCCCAGGGTCAGAGGTTCTGGTGTTAGGGTGGGGCTCTATTGATTATATAGTTAAAATGCATTAATTCTTTGAAAATCTTCTCTGCTCCTGGGCATTAAATAAAGTAACTTAGTACATAGTTATGATGAGCAAGAGTGCCTCTTCCAAAATTTTGAATTTCATGGCCCTTGGGTCAGGGGTTCTGGTGTTAGGGCAGGGCTCTATTGATTATATAGTAGAATTGCATTAATTCTTTGAAAATCTTTTTCTCTGCTCCTGGGTATTAAATAAACTAACTAAGAACATAGTTATGGTGAGCATGACTGCCTTTTCAGAAATTGTTTCATGGCCCTTGGGTCAGGGGTTCTGGTGTTAGGGATGGGCTCTATTGATTATATAGTAAAATTGCATTAATTCTTTGAAAATCTTCTCTGCTCCTGGATATTAAATAAACTAAGTACATAGTTATGATGAGCATGGCTGCCTCAGAAATTATGAATTTAATGGCCTCTGGGTAAGGGGTTCTGGTGTTAGGGCGGGGCTTTATTGATTAGATAGGGAATTGGCATGAATTCTTTCAAAATCTTGTGTGCGCCTGGGTATTTTTCAAACAAAGGAAGTGCATGGTTATGATAAGGAAGAATGCCTCATGGCCTTTGGGTCAGGGGTTCTGGTGAGGGGGAAAGAGCTCTATTGATTATATATAGTGAAAATGCATAATTTCTTTCAAAATATTTTTTCTACTACTGGTTATAAAGTAAAGAAACAAGTGTATAGTTATAATGAGAAAGGGTGCTTCTTCCAGAATTGTGAGTTCGTGGCCAATGGGTCAGATGTTCTGGGTAAGGATGGGGCTTTATTTATTTAATTTTATGGTGAAAATGCATTTCTTTGAAAATCTTCTATGCTTCTGGGGATGTTCAAGGCAAACAGAGTAAAAGTTTTAATATGCAAGGGTATTTTTACCAGATTTTTGAACACCTGGACCATTTAGTCAAATGTTCTAGTCCTGGCCAGGGCTCTATTAACTTGTATTCTGCTGAGCAAAGTTATTCCCCTTTGCCATTCACCTTTGATAATTAATCAATGTAAATAATGTATTTGAAAGCTTAATAGAATAAGAGAATTATGCAAGATAATTTATTGTATAATGAAAATGTACTTTCATAGATTTAATGACTTGGAAAGTCAGATAGGCAGATAGATACTAGACCAATTATTTTGTTGATGCTAATCATACTATTTTTCTTGCTTTTGGGCAACAAAGCTTCATTTTTCAGTTTATGGATCCTCTAAATTGTTGTATTGTACTCAGGTGACCGTTTAGGCCCTTGGGCCTCTTGTTCTGTTAGTGAGTTCTCTAACCTGATTGGATTGCATTCAAGATCTGATAAGCTACAATACGTAAATTAATCAAATGCAGAAAAAGTATGTCTACTGACTACAGTATGTTGAAAGCTACAAATGAATAATTATGAGTGAAATGCATGATCATTAACATAAATTTTGATCATTTCTGTACAGGATCAACAAAGAACGAGACGATCACACAGTTCCTCCAGCTGTGTATTTTCCCCCGTTGTTGTTTCACGGCCTCCGATGCAGTGTACTGTGCTAAATTTATCCACATCTTACACGATCTGAAGACTCCAAACTTCTCCACTCTCATCTGTTGTGATAGGGTAAATGTCAACATTACTTGTTCAAGTTTCATTTTTTAAAGTGCTCAAACTTTCTATGTATCGTGAGTACATTTTTAATTTCAATTTTCACAAAAAGAAAATACTTTCAAGATACATGTACAATGTACATATGTGTAATGCAGTGTAAAGGGTATCAAAAAAAATATATAATTTAAACTGTACATTTAGTTGGGTGAAAGAAGCCAAAGATATTTAATTTTTTTCATCTTTTGTTAGATATTCTGTGATATCACATACACTGTAACAAACTGTACAGAGAACGAGGCCCACAGATACGGACGATTTCTCTGTGCTTCCCTGGATACCATCATGAAATGGCACAGCAGTAAGGAGATTTATGATAAGGTAATATTGATTATAACAGAATGGCATCTCAAAACATAAATATATCTGAAACGTGACAAAATTGAAAAACTTAGAAAATGTACAGGATCTGTGACAAATTAATGTGAAACAATAAAAGAGAAAACTGAGGACTTCTCCTTAGATAACATGAATCAGGGATGATAACTGTGCTGTTTTTACTGGTAGGGTTGTGGTTTTATGTGACTAACTCCTGACTACTGATATATACATTATAGTTGTTGGATTCTATGAGGACACCTTGATTAATGCCTGTATATTATGGCATGATTATCTCGTAAATTTAGAGAACTGTTGATGACCGATAAGATTAGTTATACTTCATTATCTATGAAATTTAACTCTGTAGTTAACATCATATTGTTTTGAAATCGGGATAGATGAAGTAAAATTTTAACTCAAAGCATAGTAATAGGTCTCAAAAAATACCATAGAACTCTCCTGGAGAAGCGTTGTGAAAAAACATGTCTATACAAAGATTATTGGAAAACAAGTATGGAAATTTCCAATTCAATTAAATTTTCAAAATTGTTAATTGATCTTAAAAGCATTTTTAAATGGATTCTGTTTTACAGGAGTGTGCTGCTTACCCTGGTTTTGTGACGGTATTTAGAAAAGGAACAGACAGCGTTAATATCGCAGATCAGCTGGATTATGAAAATTATCGACATGTTTGTCATAAGTGGCACTTCAGAATCACCAAGGTAACATTAACGTGTTACACATGTTTTGTTCTTCTCAAATACATTCTGATTTGTAAGTGTTTAATATTTGTTTACATGTAGTAACTTTCATGTGAGGCAGACTGATTCTTGAGTTTTATTTTAACATGGAAATTTGGAATATCAGATCTACTCTAAGATGTATCTGTATCAAAAAAGAAGAAAAAATATCTGTTTTTACCCTCAGTTTTTAAAGAAGTGATAATGGCCTTGTTGATCAGAATTTATTATGAAACTTGGATGTCTTGTCACCCTTTGAATAATAATACATAATTGCTTGCTAATTTTCTGTTATTTACCTGTGTTAAATTATATGGCATTTTAATAACTTGTAATTAACAAGTGATTTTAATATAAACTCATTTTTAAATATGGTTAAATTGTGTCCCATTTATTTTTGATTAAAAATATACGTAACTTTGATTTACTTAGGCCAAAAAAAATTAATAAATAGTTTCTCAGGCACCACCGCATCAGGTCAAAAACAGCCGCATTGATCAATTTTATTGACATTTTGAAAAGGGAAATAACTCAATTTTCTATTTTTCCAAGTAGAAAAAGAAAATTGAGTCATTTCCCTTTTCATAACAGTAATAGATAGACGTTTTTATTAGATAAACAATATTCTAGTCTATACAGTCCTTTATTAATTAACTTTTAAAGAAATGTTTAAAATAACATAATTTAAAGTTGAGTACATAATAATTAGTATATTAAGAGTACAAAAAAGTGAGAATCAGTTAATATCATCATTTTGTTGAATGACTGACATGAAAAAAAAGATACCTGCTTTAAAAAAAAACCTGCCTGCCGCATTAAAATTTTGAAATATTTGGCCTGAGAAACTATTAATTAATTTTTTATGGCCTTAGGAACAATTTTATTATTATAATGGTTAAAACTTGCTAATATTTACGTAATGAAAAATATAGATCTTCAACATGTTCAATAACATGTAATTTACAAGTGACTTTAAATGTAGATAACGTGGCCTGTTCATTAATGTATGATAAACATGGGACTCTTTGATTTACATGTATCTGCAATTTACAACATAATGTGTAAATTCAGATTTACGTGAGAGACCAACATCAGTTCAGTATATTATTTATGAAGCCTAAGTCATAACTATTAAGTTCATTTATCATATGTTTGAACATGATTATGTAAATACATGTGACTTAAAATGTATTGTACTTTGGGCCAGTGGCCTTGAATACTCTAATCAATATATATTGATTGATTGACTTTTATCATTTTCCTTTGGCAGCCCTTAGTGGGACTGTCTCTGACTGTGACATTTTTTTAGTTACAATTCTGTTGAATTTTAACTAATGTACTACTCTTTGATTTACATGTGTTTTATGTTTTATGTTTATGTTGTTTTTTTCATTGTAGGCCATGGTCGCCTGTTTAGAGTCAGGAAACTATATCCAGATACGCAATGCTCTAATTGTTCTAACAAAGGTCAGTGTTCATTGAAAATAAATATAGGTGGAAAGGTGCAGTAAATATATTTTGTGAATTATACTAGAAACATAATTTCTGATTTGTGTTCAAAATCTTATTATCTGTTTGATATTACTGCAGATCTTGCCAAACTATCCCAGAATTCAGCAGTTTGGACAAGCTTTGGAGAGACGGGTGGATCGATTACGACAGGATGAGAAAGGAAAACGACCGGACATATATGCTCTGGCCATGATGTAATTTGTTTTAATCATAGATATTAAAACTAAAAAGATGATTTTTGGAATTGTTAAGGGATGCCAAATATTTTTTTTCCCCAAGTTGCAAAGTTGACACAATTTCTTGATATGCAACTGCATGATTCATAGAAAATTTACATTTGACAACAATTGCATTTGAAGTTTAGTAATCAATTGAAGTAACAGCAAATAGAGATGATTCTCATACAATTGCCTACTCGATTTCTCCCCAGGTATTCTGGACATCTGAAGAACAAGAAGAACAGCTGGGTTCAGGAAAACATGTTCCACCACAAAGAGGTTTAAAAAATACTCACATGTTTGCCCTCATTTTGATGAGTGTGAAATGATCATATTATTGATGTAAATTATGTAAATTAATGGATGTAGGAAATTATTAAAACTGCTGCTTAGAAGTATGAAACAATGAATGCAAAAGAAAGAGAGCAAAATTTGTCATTTGCAAATTTGAAAAAAAATTAACAAACCAACTCGAAAACACAAATGATGTACCACCTATATTACTAGTCACTGAAAACTGACTAGTTTTTCCTTAGTGAACCTTGAATCAAAAATGTTGTCAATATTTGCTGGTTTGTAGTATTTTCTCAATGATTTGTACATGCTGGTAAGGTTCTTTAAAATCTATGAAAATTGATGTGAGTCTATTGTACAAACTGTTTTAATGATTACACCTCTCAATTGTTGCAGATGAAGGGGAGAAAGCCTGGAAGTGGAACTGTCAAACAGGAATCCAAAGCAAATGGGGAGACAAAACCCTCCAAAGAGAATGGGGAGGGTAATTATTACTGACCATTATTAATGTTAATATCTATAGAAAGCAATTACCAGAAATGGACAAATAAAAGTTTCTTGATTAAAGAGTACATGGAGGACAGACTAGATAAATGATATTGAAAGAACTTATTGGACTGATTAGTAGTAGTTAATTAATAAATAATTAAGAAGTATGTGATGAACAAAATGGAAGTGAGATGTGAGTAAGTAGCTTTGATCAATAAATTGTTGTCTCTGAATGAAATGTATGGAGGGTGCATTTACATACAATTACAGTATTTGCAAATATTTGCATGCACAAAAATTTGCATTGAAATCCTTCCTTCAGAGTGTATAAGCCATTATTGTAAATTTGATTAATTTCCTTTTGATGTACAGGAAAGGAGTCTTCCAGTAGCAAAGACAAGAAGTCTGAAAAGAGAGAGAAATCAGAGGGAAAATCTAAATCTGACAGAAAAGACGATGACAAGAAAGACTCGGGGAGTGGGTAAGTAATGGTCACAGGGGACTATAAATAGTAAAAAAAAATCTAGAAAAGGCCCTTCATATATGTGTATGTTGTATATATTCCATATCTGTTTGGGGTGGATACATTTGAAGTTGTTGATAATAGGGTAAAAATGTGAATTCAAAGTCATTTCTGATGCATGGGGAAAAGAAATGAATTTGTTAAGAATTTTGTCTCTTTGGAAATTTAGAACAAAGAAAAGTTCAAAGGAAAAATCAAAAGACAAAGAAAAATCAAAAGAAGAAAAATCTCAAAAGGAGGATAAATCCTCCCAGAAAGAGAAGGGGGTGAAGAGAGACCCCGAGGATGAGGGGGAGAGGGGGCAGAATAAAGAGAACAAACGATCAAAGGAGGAGAAAAAGGAGGAAAGGAACCCAGACAAGGTGAGAAACTGTATTAGGCTCAGTGTCAGAGTTAGACTCAGTGTCAAAGTTAGGCTCAGTGACAGAGTTAGACTCAGTGTCAAAGTTAGGCTTAGTGTCAGAGTTAGGCTTAGTGTCAGAGTTAGGCTCAGTGTCCGAGTTAGGCTCAGTGTCAGAGTAAGGCTCAGTGTCAGAGTTAGGCTCAGTGTCAGAGTTATTATTGATAATTCTAGTATCAAACTGATGTAACTAAACCAGCCAATATCATTGTCACAGGCTTCTCTGTCCTTCCTTTATTTAAATAAACACTTGACAATTTGCGTCAATTTTTTGGTTTATGTAGTTTTGAAAATTAGAATCCCTCACAGCTTTTTCTAAAATCTAGTTGATATGCATTGCACACAAACACAAATGAAAGTGTATTCTCATTGATTTTATGTGAGGGTGAATCACACTTTCTAAGACCAGAGGCCCATGGGCCACATCGCTCACCTGAGCACATTGGCTAGGCAAAAGCACAAATCAGTTCAGTATTGAAAAGATTACCACCGGGGGGGGGGGGGGGGGGGGGGGGGGGGGGCTTGAATTTTAAACTACCTGATGATGCTTCCGTATCAATATAAGAAATGGCTTTCTTGTACTTGAGAAGATGTTCAAAAAAATTTCCCATATATTCCTTTTAAAAATTTGATCCCCCATTGTGGCTCCTCCCTATCCCAGGGGTCATCATTTGAACAAATTTGAATCTACACTACCTGAGGATGCTTCCAAGATATTATCCTATATATTTCTATTTAAGACTTTGATCCTCCATTGTGGCCCCACCCTACCCCCGGGGGTCAGGATTTGAACAAACTTGAATCTACACTACCTGAGGATGCTTCCATATAAATATGACTCAACATGTCTTTGCTGTTCTTGAGAAGAAGATTTTTAAAGGTTTTTCCTATATATTTCTATGTAAAACTTTGATCCTCCATTGTGGCCCCGCCCTACCCCCGGGGGTCATGATTTGAACAAACTTGAATCTACACTACCTGAGGATGCTTCTATATTAATATGACTCATTATGCCTTTGCTGTTCTTGAGAAGAAGATTTTTAAAGGTTTTTCCTATATATTTCTATGTAAAACTTTGATCTTCCATTGTGGCCCCGCCCTACCCCCGGGGGTCATGATTTGAACAAACTTGAATCTACACTACCTGAGGATGCTTCTATATTAATATGACACATTATGGCTTTGCTGTTCTTGAGAAGAAGATTTTTAAAGGTTTTTCCTATATATTTCTATGTAAAACTTTAATCCTCCATTGTGGCCCCGCCCTACCCCCGGGGGTCATGATTTGAACAAACTTGAATCTACACTACCTGAGGATGCTTCTATATTAATATGACTCATTATGGCTTTGCTTTTCTTGAGAAGAAGATTTTTTAAGGTTTTTCCTATATATTTCTATGTAAAACTTTGATCCTCCATTGTGGCCCCGCCCTACCCCCGGGAGTCATGATTTGAACAAACTTGAATCTACACTACCTGAGGATGCTTCTATATTAATATGACTCATTATGGCTTTGCTGTTCTTGAGAAGAAGATTTTTAAAGTTTTTTCCTATATATTTCTATGTAAAACTTTGATCCTCCATTGTGGCCCCGCCCTACCCCCGGGGGTCATGATTTGAACAAACTTGAATCTACACTACCTGAGGATGCTTCCATATAAATATGACTCAACATATCTTTGCTGTTCTTGAGAAGAAGATTTTTAAAGGTTTTTCCTACATATTTCTATGTAAAACTTTGATCCTCCATTGTGGCCCCGCCCTACCCCCGGGGGTCATGATTTGAACAAACTTGAATCTACACTACCTGAGGATGCTTCCACATGAGTTTCATCTTTCCTGGCCCTGTGGTTCTTGAGAAGAAGATTTTTAAAAGATGCTATTAATTTTTCACTAATTCTTTATTATCTCCCCTTGAAAAAGGGCGTGGCCCTTCATTTTAACAAATTTGAATCCCCTTCACCCAAGGATACTTTGTGGCAAGTTTGGTTGAAATTGGCCCAGTGGTTCTTGAGAAGAAGTCGAAAATGTTAAAAGTTTACAGACAGACAGACAGACAGACAGACGGACGCCGGACAAAAAGTGATCAGAAAAGCTCACTTGAGCCTTCGGCTCAGGTGAGCTAAAAAAAAGATAATTTGAGTTCAAACTTAGTGCATAGATACTGTATGTATAGGATATTACATGTACATGTATATGCATAGGAAATTGTATGGCCTCTAAATTTCTTCTGAAAATGTTCTAAAGACTGTGTTAGAATATGATATAAAAAATGAGGTACTTGGGAAAACATTAATGAACTTAACAACACACATGTAAATACTTGTAAAATTCTCTAGATGGAGGAAAGAATACGCATTAAAGAGGAACCTCAGGATTGGACAGAGAAAGAGGTCAAGGACAGAAAGGAAGGTCATGACTGTGGTCAAGGAGATGTGAAGGTCAAAGAGGAGAAGACAGACAAGATCAAACTCAAAAGGATACACAGTCCATCAGAGACGAAGGACAGGGAGCACAAAGACCACCGAGGGGAGCGAGCGTCCAGCATCGGGGCACACGAAAGTCGGCCGTGGAGAAGTCCAGAGAGATCAGCGTCCAAGTCGCATGATGAGAGAGGTAAGAAATGCTTAATAATCGAGGAGTGCAGCTTGATCTTGTAGGTGTGTGTAGTCCAATGTATGAAAAACTTTATTGAACATGGATATACAACAACCTGTACAGTAGTAAACCAACCTGATGTTTCTTACTTTAACATTCCTTTAATCTTCTCAATGTTTTTGAATATCAATGAAACACAAGTCTGGATATAAGAAAATAAGAACAGTGTGAAATCTTGTGAGTGGATCTTTCAATGTGCTTTGCAAAATTACAACTGTCATCATGCATACTCAAGGAGAAAAATTATAAGGAATAATGTCTCTTTTTTCAGATACAAAACGTCGAAAATTGGAAAGCTCTTCAGCTTCAGGGTCAAAGGTTAGTATGACGGAAGTCTACTCGTAATATTGGTGTCTTGTTGTGTACGGCTGAAAGAGGGTCACCTGCACTCACAGGGAAGGCTAGCGGTGTGTGGAATCGTCAGTATTTAAATGCCTTGTCAGTTTTTAAGTTTTAGGGTTTGTGCCTGCCATCCTTAGGAAAACAGGAAGTTAAGGAGCTATTTCAGAGGAGGAATAAAATTGAGGTTAAAATTGAGAAAGAAAGCTGATTGGAAGAAAAGGAAAGTTGGAAAATAAGTTTTCAATGTCTTTCCCTTGGGAAATTTAAAATTTAAATGAACTTAGATTATGAAATAATGTAAAAAGAGAGTTATTCAGAAGGTATTCCAGATGAAAATTGTGATGTTTATGGACTACATTCCAGAAAATAATAATGGAAGAAAGAATTAGAGATGTGCCAATGAATTTGGGCCGATGCTATTGCTAAAGAAGTTTCCCAAAGCACCATGTTCTGTCCATCCAATTGTATATGTTTTCTCAGCCATTGCTTGTTTGCATTCATTCTGATATGCCCATTATTATAAGAAGGGACTGCATAAAATAAATATCTGCTTTTCCAAATTATCCATAAGGTCCACTGTTTATTGAGCATCCATATTTTAATGAAAAGTCTGAAGCTTGCAATTTGCATGATAAGGCCAGAATAAAGAGCAAGAGGTCATATTTCAGCTCCAATTCATATCTGATATAAGTGTTATTATAGAAAGACTTTGCTGCAAGAGCTGTGGAAAAATCAGGGCTTGGTTGTTACAAATATTTGAAGAAAAATCCATATCAATGAAAGACTTGAGTGTATTCCTGAGTGAGAAGTGGTGAAGAAATGAGGCTCCTGTGCTCAAAAGAACTTAACCAGATGAAGGAAATTTTATCTCCCAGCTGATGTGTTGATGCTATCCCCTCATTACACCAGATACCACTGTCACTGATTAACAGGTTTCAAAGAAATCCAGTAATAATTTTTCTCAGCCACAAGCCACTGCCATTTGGAAATAAGATGCTCTCTTGCCAGCCCTCCAGTCCTTGCTGTTACATATTTTTTCCTGCTTTATGATGGTACCATTGCTACTTTTTGTTCTTGCCCTTCCCAGAATATGATAAAGATGATGTACCGACCCACTGTTGTAGAAGTCACCAGAATATTGAACTATAATACCAGATTTCCTGTGGAATATTTGGGGACCAAAAACTTCAAATACCATGGAAACAAGCTTGATGTGATTGTGATGTTTCTTGGGTTTAATATTTTGTGAGATTTGTGTTTCTTGCGAATTAAATTCTGCTATGAAGAGGCCAAGAAGAAGAAAGTATTGTGAGAAAGGCTACAGTTTCTGTTGTTCTTCACTGAAGATTCAGTGCCATATGGAATTAAGGAGCTCAGTTGATTTGAAATCCATTTGTTGAAATCCTCAAGTAAAAGTGCTGTACATTCCAGTTAAATTTTTTTTTTCAATATTTGAGTGATTCATGCTAATATTAATGAAGGTATACAAAATTTGTCTCAAGGCTTACAATGGAAATCCTTTTCTATCAGTCTTTATTATTATATGTTGTAGATTTTGTTGTTACACTGAAAAGTGTATATATATTATTTTAACTATGGAGTTTTACAATTCCAACAGCATTTTTTTTTGTGTGTGTATTTTTCATATCAAGATTTAGCATTATTTTATGCCTTCATATGAAAGTACAGGCAGCATTTAACAAACGACAATATCAGAAATAATGATACAAGGTTAGAATAGGATTTTATTAACAACATAATACGTATCAACTTTTAACCTTGTTAATTGGTAGTTTTATTAATCATTTTGATACGGTATACAAACATGTTGAAATGAACTGGTTAATTGGTAGGTTCATTTTCAAAAGAGACAGGCCATTGTGCTATCATATCTTAATGCTTGACTCAGCTTGAATGTACTTGAATGGAAGAATTTATTCAAAAAATTGTTTCTTATTAATTTTATTTTGTAAAACAAGGAAGTTGTTTTTTTAATGAGTATTATATCATGTGTTCAAATTGAAATGTCAGTGAACAGCTTTGTTAGGAAAAAATCATTATGTTAATTATAAATGTTACATCTTGTGAATTAATGTTTTTTATTTAAAAATGAAAAAGACAAGTTGAATTGTCTCTATGTAATTCTTTTACAGCAGTAATTAAAGGGAGATAATGATTGTATTTGTTATTTCCAGATATCCTCATACATTTTTTCCAACTCCATATTAAGAAATTTACAGTTTTTACAGTTTAATAAGGGGTGTTCAATAAATTTAAGCCAAACTTGAAACAAAGAGATGGTAAACATAACCTTTTACATTTTTCCTCTTCATTTTAATTTTAGACATTACAGATGGTTGATTTTCTGAAATTTACACCTATATCACTTTCTAATCACGGTAGAGAATTTTAAGAAGCTTTTAAGTTGCACTTGTTGCTTTATGTACCATCTTTTCACATCAAATTATTCAAAATTTAGTAAAAGTGCTAAACACCTGGCTGAGGGGTGTTAGGGTGTGTGATAGGGAATTTTTAGATGCATGGGGAAGTCAGCAGAGCCCACAGGTGACCAGTGGTGCCAGAGACCACCTGGATGTTTGTTTTTCATTTCTTTTTCCTTTTTCGTCAGGACCGGGACCACAGTGAAACTCGGGATCGTCACAGAAAGGTGAGTCAAAATTTCTGTCAGATCACGTGGTTGTCCTCATCCATAGATAAAGATAGATAATAATTTGAATACAACTGGTTCTTCAGTCTTATAGGGTATTGAAATGCACGTATCTACTTGTCTGGTTCAATTTGAACTTGTACAAAGTTATATTTTAATTGGCCATCTATGTATATCTGTCAGCATTTTTGTTTCTAGATCATTTGCTTTCTTAGTCAATTTTTATTTTGAAAGGGCAGAAGGTGGGTGGTATTCATGTGTCCCCCCCCCCCCCCCCCTCCCCCAAATCAGTGATTTGGGGTTTATAGTTTTTTACCCTGTCTGTCTGCAAAAACTTTAACCATGCCCACAATGTTTGATTTATGGAGCTATTGTTTTTATATTTCTGTGTATTCTGTATGGACCTTTCTTTGGGTTCCAGCATTTTTAGCTCTTCTGAGCCAAAGGCTCAAAGAGCTAATGCTATGGCCATTTGTGTGGTGTGCGGTGTGCGTAAACTTTTTAGAATATGGGCCATAACTCAAGAACCCCTTGGCCAATTATTGTCAAATTTGTCACAGGGTATCCTTGGCCCAAGGGCTCCCTTTTATACTAAAACTGGGGTTGTGACCCTTTAACAAGGGGAGATAATTAGGAAAATAGAAACAAAAGTACTGGTTGCTAAAAAATCTTCTTCTCAAGAACCACTGGGCAGATTATCACCAAACTTACACAAAAGGATGAGGATATGTTGTAGATTAAAATTTGCACGGGGATTTACCCTGGGGCAAAGGGCGTGGTCTCAAGGTCACTTCAAAGTTGACCAAAAATTACATTTTATTAAAATGTTGATATTTTGCTTACTATAAGGACTAGGACCATCAAATCTTGTCAGTTGGTGCATCTAAGGACCTCATATCATGTTGACTCAAAAGTAGGTCACGGTGACTTACTTTTTAAATTTTGCGGCCATTCTTTTTCAAAATGATTTAGAGGCATATTTTGAACAATTTAAGGCCTATGATCATCAAACTTTGTCAGTTGATGCATCTTGGGTCCACAAAGTACGTCAACTAAAAAGTAGGTCACCTTGACCTACTTTTTGAATTTTATGGCTAATCTTTTTTAAAACAATTACGGTCATTAATTCGAATACGGGGAGGCTTAGAATCATTAAATCTTGTAAGATGATGCATCTTGGAGCCATAAAACATATTTATTAAAAAGTAGGTCACAGTGACGTACTTTTTTGAACTTTGCAGGCATTCGATTTCAAAGCGTTTTAGAGGCATAATTTTGACATTTTAAGTCCTATGATCATAAAATTTTGTAAGTTGATGCATCTTGGGTCCTCAAAAAAGGTCAACTGAAAAGTAGGTCACAGTGACCTACTTTTCAATTTATATGACTATAATTAAATATTTCAGGTACTAATTGGCTTAGAATCATAAAACTTTGTCAGTTGATGCATCTTGGGTCTTCGGAGTAGGTCGACTAAAAAGTAGGTCACAGTGACCTACTTTTGAAAATTTATGGTGTTAATTAAATATTTCGGGTACTAATTGGCTTAGAATCGTCAAACTTTGTCAGTTGATGCCTCTTGGGTCTTCAGAGTAGGTCGACTAAAAAGTAGCTCACCGTGACCTACTTTTGAAAATTTATGGCTCTAATTAAATATTCCGGGTACTAATTGGCTTAGAATCATCAAACTTTGTCAGTTGATGCATCTTGGGTCCACAAAGTACGTCAACTAAAAAGTAGGTCACCTTGACCTACTTTTTGAATTTTATGGCTAATCTTTTTTAAAACAATTACGGTCATTAATTCGAATACGGGGAGGCTTAGAATCATTAAATCTTGTAAGATGATGCATCTTGGGGCCATAAAACATATTTATTAAAAAGTAGGTCACAGTGACGTACTTTTTTGAACTTTGCAGGCATTCGATTTCAAAGCGTTTTAGAGGCATAATTTGGACATTTTAAGTCCTATGATCATAAAATTTTGTAAGTTGATGCATCTTGGGTCCTCAAAAAAGGTCAACTGAAAAGTAGGTCACAGTGACCTACTTTTCAATTTATATGACTATAATTAAATATTTCAGGTACTAATTGGCTTAGAATCATAAAACTTTGTCAGTTGATGCATCTTGGGTCTTCAGAGTAGGTCGACTAAAAAGTAGGTCACAGTGACCTACTTTTGAAAATTTATGGTGTTAATTAAATATTTCGGGTACTAATTGGCTTAGAATCGTCAAACTTTGTCAGTTGATGCCTCTTGGGTATTCAGAGTAGGTCGACTAAAAAGTAGGTCACCGTGACCTACTTTTGAAAATTTATGGCTCTAATTAAATATTCCGGGTACTAATTGGCTTAGAATCATCAAACTTTGTCAGTTGATGCCTCATGGGTCTTCGGAGTAGGTCGACTAAAAAGTAGGTCACAGTGACCTACTTTTGAAAATTTATGGCTTTAATTAAATATTTTTGGTACTAATTGGCTTAGAATCATCAAACTTTGTCAGTTGATGCATCTTTGGTCTTCAGAGTAGGTCGACTAAAAAGTAGGTCACGGTGACCTACTTTTGAAAATTTATGGCTTTAATTAAATATTTCAGGTACTAATTGGCTTAGAATCATCAAACTTTGTCAGTTGATGCCTCATGGGTTTTCGGAGTAGGTCGACTAAAAAGTAGGTCACCATGACATACTTTCGGAAAATTTATGGCTTTAATAAAATATTTTGGGTACTAATTGGCTTAGAATCATAAAACTTTGTCAGTTTAAGCGTCATGGGTCCTCGGAGTGCAACAACTGAAAAGTAGGTCACGGTGACCTACTTATGAAAATTTATGGCTTTAGTCAAATATTTCGGGTACTAATTGGCTTAGAATCTTTAAACTTTGTCAGTTGATGCGTCTTGGGTCCTCGGAGTACAACAACTGAAAAGAAGGTCACCGTGACCTACTTTTGAAATTTTATGGCTGTATTAAATATTTTCAGGAATTATTTGGTTTAGAGTCGTCAAAATTTGTCAGTTGATGCATCTTTGGTCCTTAGAGTAGGTTGACTGAAAAATAGGTCACCGTGACCTACTTTTGAAAATTTATGGCTGTAATTAAATATTTTGGGTACTTATTGGCTAGAATCATCAAACTTTGTCAGTCGATGTATCTTTGGTCCTCGGAGTACAGCAACTGAAAAGTAGGTCACGGTGACCTACTTTTGAAAATTTATGGCTTTAATTAAATATTATAGGTACTAATTGGCTTAGAATCATCAAACTTTTGCATCTTGGGTCCTTGGAGTAAAACAATTGAAAAGTAGGTCACTTTGACCTACTTATAAAATTTTATGGTTATAATTTTAAAAAATATTTTAGGTATTAATTGGCTTAGAATCATCAAACTTAGTTGATGGGTCTTCAGAGAATGACAAGTGATAAGTAGGTCACCATGACCGACTCTCAGGTACTAATTGGCTTAGAATCATCTTGGGTTCTCAGAGTGTGAATTGGAATTTCAAGGGTTTATCTAAATATACAGGATACTTTGAGGCTTCAAATAGAAGTGATAGGTTGTACACTTTATCAGAAGAGCAATTCAAGGCCCATGGGCCTCTTGTTAACTTCTTGACCTTAGAGTTTGACCCATTTTGCAAACAATTGCCAAACTTTAACCTTGGCTATAACTTCTGAACAGTTGGTGCTAGGGCTTTTATGCTTCACTTGTGTATTCATTGTGACAAGACTTTTCCACGGGTATTAAAATTTTGACTTTCCCTTAGATTTTGACCCACTTTAAAAAAAAAAAAAAATTAACCTTGTACATAAGATTTGAATAGTTAATATGAGGGTTTTCGTATTTCATAGATGTATTACTCGTGGCAAGACAATATAAAAGCCCTAACACCAACTGTTCAAAATGGTTAAGGTTAAAGTTTTTTAAAAGTATATCAAGCTCTAAGGTAAAGGTTAAAAAGTGAAAATTGTTGGTATCCAGAGAAAGGTCTTGTATCAAGGAATACACCTGTGAAATATTAAAGCCCTTGTACTAAATGCTCAAAAGTGCCAAAGGTTAAGTTTTTCAAAAGTAGATCAAGTATCAAAGTCAAAAGGTAAAAAATTGTTGGTATCCAATGGAAGGTCTTGTCACAAGGAATGCACATGTGAAATATAAAAGCCCTAGTTCTAACTTTTTCAAAAGTTATGGCCAAGATTAAAGATTTTTAAAAGTATGTCAAACTCTTAGGTGAAGAGGTCAAAAATATTAATTCCCATGAAAATGATTTGTCACAATGAATACACATGTGAAATATGAAAGCCCTAGCACCAACTGTTGAAAAGTCATGGCCAATGTTAAAATTTGGTAAATTTTTGCAAAAGTGGGTCAAACTCCAAGGTCAAGAGGTCAAATATGTTGGTACCCCCAAAAAAGTCTTGTCACAAAAAATAGATGTGAAATATGAAAGCCATAGTTACAACCAATTGAATGTTGTAGGCAAGGTTGAAGTTTTGGCCATCAAACTGACAGACGGATGGACAGGGCAAAAACTATATACCCCTGAATCTTGGATTACAGAGGCATTAAACTTACTGTGTGAATATAATTTTCTGATCCAGAAGTAGATCACAGTTACCCGGTGTTATATATTCAATTCAGTTTATGTTATTGACCAATTAAGGGCCTTCAAGGGGCAAAAGAAAGTGCATTGTAAATATTCATATAGAGTCATACACATGTAATACAATATACATATACACAAGAGAGAAAGGCTTGCATGATTGAAGGAAAAAATAGGCATGAATAGGGATAACAAACCATATAGCATTTATACGTTTACATTAGTTCTCAGCAAAAATAATAGTATTTGGCTATGTATATACATTATCTATATGCATACATATTTATGTCATACACATGAAAGTACACACTTTAATATAATTCATCGAGATACAATAAAGAGTATGTCTGTAGGCCCATTATGTCTTCATCTACAATTTATATGAAATATGATTCAAATTGATGAAAGATAAGTCAATTCTGTGTAAGGACAATGCATAGGTAGAAATATTGCAAACAAACTCTCAAGCTCTTTTTAGCTCACCTGAGCCAAAGGCTCAAGTGAGCTATTCTGATCAAAATTTGTCCATTGTCATTGTTGTAGTCGTTGTTGTAAACTTTTCACATTTTCATTTTCTTCTCAAGAACCACTAGGCCAATTTCAACCAAACTTGCCACAAAGTATCCTTGGGTAAAGGAGATTCAAGTTTGTTCAAATGAAGGGCCACGCCTTCTTCCAAGGGGAGATAATTAAGAATTTCGGGAAAAATTAATGGCATCATTAAAAAATCTTCTTCTCAAGAACCACTACGCTTGAAAATATGAAACTTATGTGGAAGCATCCTCAGGTAGTGTAGATTCAAATTTGTTCAAATCATTACCCCCGGGGGTCGGGTGGGGCCACAATGGGTGATCAAAGTTTTACATAGGAATATATAGGAATAATCTTTAAAAATATTCTTCTCAAGAACAGCAAAGCCATGATTAGTCATATTTATATGGTAGCATCCTCAGATAGTGTAGATTTAAGTTTGTTCAAATCATGACCCCGGGGCCGGGTGGGGCCACGATGGGCGATCAAAGTTTTACATAGGAATATATAGGAAAAATCTTTAAAAATCTTCTCAAGAACAGCAAAGCCATGATTGGTCATATTTAACTGGAAGCATCCTCAGATAATGTAGATTCAAATTTGTTCAATTCATGACCCCCCCCCCCCCCCCCGAACCACTTTTTTATTTAAACTTTTCAACCTTTCAAGACTGAACTGATTTCTGCTTTTTCCTAGCCATAGTGCTCAGGTGAGCGAAGTGGCCCCTGGGCCTCTTGTTTTTCTGTCTAGTTAACATTTTGGGTTTTAATTAAATAAAAATATGCTACTTATAACTATAAATTACAGTTGTAAAATAGTTTTGTTTTAGATATACAGATTCTATGGACTTCTTATTCTTGCTAGTGAAGAAATAGTTTGTTCATTTCAATACATAAAAAAAATATTACTAATTTAGAATTGTTTGATTTCTATTGTGTCATGATCAAAATATCGTGAAAGATATCGATTTAGGAAAGGTATTTTCCGAGCTCTAGAAACATAAAAAAATCAGACTACTCAGATTTTTAATAGGCAGTGTCCAGTATGTTAAATTCATATTCAAATTGGCTTAATATTTTGTCATGGATCCCCCCCCCCCCTTTCCTTCATCAAATCATTCCCAGTATCTTGAGAACCCTTAAGTTTGTTTTATAGCCATCAATTCTTATACACAGGTTAAATTACAAAAAATGGCTTCCTAATTTTTTAGGTCAGTGTCAACAGTTTTTAGCTCACCTGAGGCGAAGGCTCAAATAAGGGCACCGCAAAGCGGAGCATCCCCTCGCAAAGAGCATATTTATAAATCAGTGCAATATACGTCACCCCCGTTTGGCACAAAGGACAAACTAACTCGCATATGTATACACACAACTCCGTTGCAGGGTGGTAATAAACCAAGTAAAACCGTAAACAAAACAATAAGTGTCCAGATATTTGATGAAGTAGGTGAAGATAACGAACAGCGATCGATCTAAAAAAATAATACAAACGATACAAATCTGTAAATCAGGGCATAAAACACATTCCATAGGCTGAATAAGGTGCATAGGAGAAGAACACATCCCCTGTTGACTAGTCCCCCCTTCCCTCGGTGAGCCTTTTTTTATTGATCAGATAGAATTTAAGTATGAAGAATACTTTTGAATATTAAAGATCATTAAGCTGAAGTTACAAAGTAATTCAAAATTGTAAACAAAGCGACAATGCAACTTTGTCTATGCCTCTTTATATTGTAATTCTTCCCTCAGTTTTGTTTCGATTTCAATTAAACATTTTACAAAGAAGTTTTGCCACGATTATTAAAAAAAATATCCTTGAAATTCTTTCAAAAGTGTACCACCCATAATTTTGGACAGATTTTAATTGAAATTGCTACATGAAAAGACGAAACCAAGCACCGTAGTACTAATAATTGATGCTAACTAGTGTCACACTTTAGGTTACATCCCTAACATAACCTTGTTATTGGTACAAAATAGAAGGAAAGTCTTGTCAGACTTTTGGTTCAATTCATCTATCCTTACGATCAAATCTGGAACGTAACAGGTGTCCAGAAATTCTGTTATTTTGACCTCCCCTATGACATTTACTTACACTTTCTGGGTTTGGCTCTTTTTCGACTATTGTACATCATTATTTTAGCCAACACCTTTTTTGATACATATTGATGAAACAAAAGTTTGACTTCGATCTCGAGTCATATTTTCCGAAAATCGGGATTCATTTTTCTTTTCAAGTACTTCGTACACGAATAAACCCATAAACATGATAAAATTACATATTGAAATGCTTATACATCTTAAGAGAACATTTCTTAGAAAGAAAATTTTTTCGACCTTGATGTGATTTGATGAATTTTAATTTACAATAAATATGAAACCCAGAATGGGTGCATTATCGCACAGGCGTATTTTGGTTTGTTCTCAGAGGTAGAATTTTACATGTAAGAAGCCCTTGTGAAGTTTGCTCTTATTTACCCCACCGCTCATCTTGGCAAGGTGAAAACCATGGAAATTTTCAAACCTCTCTATACGCGAGAACGTGTTGATTTAATGCATTTATTAATGTGTTTTACAAGGAATAATTGTTAAATTCTGTAATTATCCCTAACCGTCATTATACCCTGGACAGCAGTTTGGTTATTTTTCTGCATGTTATTATTTTGTGTAATGTACGCGGTCACAGCATACTTAAAGTACATGTAAGACATGCAGTGGCAGATATCCACGGAATTTTCTACTCGCGGATTGATGAGATATTGTGATTCCGCCTAATTATGACCCCGTGAAAAAAGAATGTATATAATAAATCAAACTACTCACCCAAAGAAAATCGTTATAAATCCAGTTAGAAAGTATTTGTTACTAATTATAAGTACACTTAGCATTTACAGAATGAGAAGCGTGATTAAGTCAATGCATAAAAAGTTGGTAATCAATATCAACGTATATACAGTATACGTAAAAGTTAGCATTCATTTCTATAAAATATAATTAGACGTTTTCTGATTGGTTTCATTGATTCCTTGTATTGTTACACAGTTCTTTATGGTCGAAAGTAAAAATAGGTTGTTTAAACTGTACATCAGGTACCAGATATATGACCCTGTTAATGAAAGGTGCAGAAAGACTAGTTGTGTAGCATTATCTTCCTTTCAGTTTAACAAGTATATTGTACCAAATGTACGTTTCGAGGTAAAAAAAAAAAAGGTTTTAATTATTGTATAGGTTTGGCCATATAGAGTTAAACATTGTGTAGCAATTTATAATTATTATTGGACAGAGTCACCCATATTGTGTGACATATATATTGTACAGAGTCACCCATAGCCTTTTAATGCTGGTATATATGTCAGTATGTCAACCTAAACCCTTCCGGTCGATGCTTCCGGGGATGCTTACTTCTTTTAGGCACCTGATCTCACGTCTGTTTCTGCTTCTTTTTTTCCGGGGGTTTATGTTTTTGCCCTAATCACGATTCGCTTTGTTTACTGGATTTAGTGAATTTATGAGATTGATCAGTGTTTGTATCTTCACATTTTAACCTGCATTACATGGAGCTGCCATTATAGGAAAATGTAAGACAATTTGTAAATTTTCAGTCATCGACATTGTTGAACTGTCATATAACAGCTTTTTTGTCTTTGCAAGGTGGTCCCCTTGTAGAGTATATATGACAATTTCCAAGTATTGTACGTAGTCGCATACTAACTCAGAGTCGCCCATGTTGAGTTTTTTATACTGTATAAAATCTTACCCTAACAACTTGTGTATATTGTACAGAGTCCATCAAATGAGAGAGAACGCGAGAGGAAGGACAGAAAACGGATGAGTCTGGTAAGGTCCTTACAGTTAGTGACAGGTTTCTATTTCAGAATTAGAACGCTTTTAATTATGATTAGATCTTATTTATCATCAGATTTCTTTTTTATGTAATACTACGACAATCTCTTTTTCAACCATAAATAACGTTTTTTTTAATTCAGGGAAGTTTATCATTTTGTAGCGTAAAAGAGCCAAGGCAAGGCATTGTTAAACTTTTTTGAATTGTACTTCGTATTTATGTGATAAATGTTAAACACAAGTATTAAAAATCAAAAGGTGCTTGTCCAGAAAGATAAAAGAAAATGTGAACTACGTACTTTAGGCATGCTGTATAAATCTGGGAAGTCGCCTGCGTGGCGCAGTGGTTAGAGCGTTTGCCCTGGAGTCGCGGAGTAAGGAGTTGATCCTTACATCGCGGGTTTGAATCCCACTGTGGGACGTGGAGACCGGTCCTTCGGATGAAACCGTATAAACCGAAGTCCCGTGTTGCAGTAGGTGCTGGCACGAAAAGATCCCTCACTGCTCAATTTGCAGCTCCCCACCGGCAAGTGGTGGCGTCTCCATATGAATGAAAAATTCTCCAGAGGGACATTAAACAACAATAAACAAACAAATCTCTGAAAATTATATTTAGGCTACTACTAGTGGACTTCTGCGAGAAGCGCTGACTTTTACAATCGGCGGCTTACTTTTACACTAGGACAGTATATGGAAGCTCTTTTGCGATATAAATATTAAGCTTCACAGCTAATTAAGCGATAATTATGGGTCATTTCAAAGCATATATTACGTCTAGAAAGGGAACGGCAACCACTCTAATCGTAATCCCCTTCCTTCCCACATTGACCAACTCTTGCTTAGATTTCCTTTCGGAAGTTTTTTCTTCCTTATTCGATTCTTTCAGAAAATGAGATTGAAAGGAGGCATTAACCCTCACGAACAAGGTAATTTAAGCTATGTAATTCTGCCTCCCATCATCTCTTGCATTGATTGCATACCAGTTAATCATGTTGGTTCCCAAAGCAAAATACCTATAAACACCATTAAGGTTTTCTTAACTATTTTCAATTCCGTGCCTCCGTACAAAAGGCAGGCTTAAATGTCAAAGTAAGCCGTCGACTGTAAAAGTCAGTGCTTCTCGCAAAAGTCCATTACTACTACTATTACTAATGCATCTTCAGAATTTTGATTTTCTTTTTTTACATCGACGCCGTCTGTAATTTGGCATGTCTGGAGTCTTTTAGTATGAGGTGTAACATGCTGATCTAGACATCGAGGGTTACTTCTTGGGCGTTACGTTTAAAACTCAAAAAGAAGTATTCACCACTATAAATACCAAATGGATCAAGAAAGAAGTTTCCTTGATACTTTTGTTCAATGCTTTTGTATTCAGATTGTATATTTCATTGTATATAACTGCAGTTAAAAAGGATTCTACTGGGAATTACTTTTTTATTTAATGAGGCTTAAAATTAAAAAAAAAAAAAGTAAAAAGGTTGTCTAATATTAAAATACTTCCACTCATTTCAATATTACCAGATTTGATATATTTTCGTACAAATTTAGCTTAAGATTTTTTTATAAATTAGCAAGTAATTTTAAGTGGTAGACGTAATTTAAACAGATTCCATTTCGTGTAAATTTTCTATGAACAGTGCTAATCACATAACAAACATGACAACAAATATTAATTAAGCAATATATATTTTGAATCATCATATAGGAATTATGACAATGTTCACAGTTTGATATATTTACCCTTTTCATTTGATTATTTGACTTTATTTGGACATCAACACATCAGAGAAGGAAATATGAACAGTATTTTCCGAAAGATTTCTACGATTCAAAGTGAAATACTTCCTCAAGTGTCCATTGGACCGTTCATTTCTCCAATCGTGTTTTTAATACTAATATAAATTTATTAATATAATTTAATGCATAGATTTTCAAATCATTAAGGTTCATAAACCATCACTCATATAAAATGTTTCCTTAACTCTTATGATTTTCCGAAAGAAATATATTTGTTTAGTAGAATACAAACAGTTATAGCATAGCTTGCGGGGCAAAATTGGACAAAAAAGACACTTCAACTTGACAAACTCGTAAAGGAATAATAGAAATTTATGTCATTAAGAGTTATCTCTCTTATCAGAGTATCGATGAACCTTAAAAAGTATATACATTAACTTAGTTCAAGTATATTTACGTCTACAGAATTAATAAACGAGATTTATCATAGCAGCCAAATTTTTGGAAGTAGTAAGAATATTGCTGAAGCACAAGGTTTTACTTTGTTCCAAATTTTCCAAATTGAAAATTTAGGTAGATATATAAATGTCATCATTTTCATGACCTCTCATCGTATTTGAAGAGATATGATGCCAGAAATGAAAGGTTGATTCATAATTTAGATTTTAATTCTAAAGAATAAGAAATTATTCTATAAAACAACAGACAAATGATTAACTTAAACTAAAATTTACGTGGAGTAGACGAGTATAATGCCAATAGATGGCCTCTTCTCCCACTAATCACGTCATCTAAGGTTAAGCTTTGATTTAAAAAAAAAACACTTGCGTGTCCATGAATCATTTGTACTAACTTAAAATCTTTCTGACATATTAATGCAGATTCATTATCAAATTTGTACTTTTTCAGGATTATCCCGACGGAGCAAGTGAGGGAGAAACAAAGAGACGTAGAAGTGTTGAACCTCAGCATAGTAAGTTTAACTTCAATGTAGATACAAACACAAGGTACACAGAAATGTAGAACCCCAACACAGTAAGTATAAATTAACTGGTGTAAATACATACACAAAGTAAACTAAAGTGTAGAACCTCAACACAAATTGAACTGAAGTGTAGAACCCCAACACAAAATAAACTGATGTGTTGAACCTCAACACAAAGTAAACTAAAGTGTAGAACCTCAACACAAATTAAAATGAAGTGTAGAACCCCAACACAAAATAAACTGATGTGTTGAACCTCAACACAAAGTAAACTAAAGTGTAGAACCTCAACACAAATTAAACTGAAGTGTAGAACTTCAACACAAAGTAAACTGATGTGTAGAACCTCAAAACAGTAAACTGAAGTGTAGAGCTCCAACACAATAAAAGTAAACTAGTGTTGCACCTCAACAAAGGATACAGAAGTGTAGAACCCCAAATACAGTCAAAGTAAGCTGGAGTATGAAACCCAAACACAGTAAATCAAAATAAATTAAAGTATAATATTTCAACAAAGTCAAAGTAAACTGAAGTGTAAAACCTTAGCACAGGAAGTAAACTGAAGTATAGGACCTCAACAAACTCAAAGTAAACTGAATTGTAGGACAACACACCGTCAAAATAGACTGAAGTATAGAACCTCAACAGAGTCAATATAAACTGAAAGGTAGAACCCCCAACACAGTAGGTGAAAATAAATAGAAGCGTTGATTCTCAACTTAGAGAGTCGAGTAAATTTGAAGTGTAGAACCCCAATAAAGTCAAAATAAGCTGAGGTTTAGAAAACAAACTCGGCCAAAAAAGACTGAAGTGTAGAATCTCAACCCAACCAAAGAAAGCAGTCAAAAACAGTCAAATTAAATTAAATTGTAGAACCCTAAGAGTCAAACTAATTATAAACTGAAGTATAGATAAGGTGAAATAAACTGAAGTGTAGATAAGTCAAAATAAACTGAAGTGTAGAACCTCAACGGAGTAAACGTAAGTAAGGAAACCAAACACAGTAAGAAAGAATAAACTGAAGTATAGAATTTCAAGATAGTTATAAAATACAACACAGCAAGTCAAATCAAACTGAAAAGGAAATTGACTCGCTAAGTATGTAAACCATGCAGCATTGTATGTTTCAGGAAAAAGAAAGAAAATAATTTTTTATCTTTGCAACCTATTCTTAGTTCTTTTATGTGTATATTCTTCTAATAGCTCTCTTAAATTTTCATATAACTGCCATGTTTTTTGTAGGTCATTCCAGTTCAAAGATAAATGGAGATTCCGATAAACATCACAGCAAACGTGACCAGTCCAGGGATAGACTAGACGGCCATGTTAAAATTAAGGTCAAGGTTAGCAGATCTATAAAACCATATTGATAATTATTATTATTACTCTTTATTTTCATTAAAAGTTCCTAGTTGTGTGCATTGCAAATGAAATGGCCGATAAATCATGCTTCTTGTTGCGATTTCTAAAGTTAAAGAAAAAGGTTCATTCCTATTATAAAAAAAAATTAATGTTCCTATTTGTAAATTTAAAAAAAGTTCATTCCTGTAAATAAAAAAGATATGCAAAAGAGAATGAAACATTGGTGTTGTTTTCACTTGTATTTTTAAATTTGTTTTAAACAGGAGGAACCAACAGATGATTCCCAACAGAAGTCAAAATCAAAAGACAAAAGTAAAAGCAAAGAAAAAACAAGGGACAAATCGTATCCTTCTTTACAAGTAGAGCAAAGTTCAGAAATTCTGGTTTGCAAAAATGTTCATTCAATACTTTAAAAACGAAATTGAAAATGAATAGATGAAAATGTTTTTTTACTACATGGGTACATTTTATTCTTAATTTATTTTTGTGTAATATATTTGATTTTGTTTTCTTTAACCAACAGCAGATCAAGTTCATCTAAGAAGAGTAAGAAATGATATTTAAGCTTATAAAGTACAAGAAGTGCTATGGAACAAACAAATGGAGGGGACTCCAATATCACAAAGACAGATAAATGACGTCATATTTTGTTGTCTTTCTGAAATACAGAAATGTTTTATTGATGGAGGATGAAACATATTTTTATAAACTTAAAATCATGTTCAGTGATTTATGTCTAGAAACTTCTGTTTTATTTGTAGAATGAAGTACAGTAAACATGTTGATTAAAACATACATACATCAGAATAATGCGTTTGTTTTCATATAAGAAGATGATTGAACAAGGCGGACAAATTACCTGTAGTGCGACAAACATGAAGTGAAAAATTAAATCTCAATTATACATGTATCAACATTTTCTTTGATATTTCATCAAACATTAAAGTATACTTTATGTAAAATACATGAGAGTAATGCTCTTGTCTTCATAAAATTTATAAGAGTGCCATCATTATTTATAAAGGTTATTCGATCCTTATGACAACTTAATGAAAAAAATAAGGTCGTTTTCGAGGTGTTTCAGTGAATATTAATGTCATGAATTTTCATGGGGAAGAAGAATATTTAGTGTCCTATTATGTTTGTTTTGCAACTTGCCATGACATCGTAATAAATTTTCAGACCTGCCTACCCTTTCGTTTTCGGCCTTTCTCTTAGTGTGGGACTTTGCCTTACTTAAAGACAACATTCATTGAAGTGAGCTCTAATTACTTATGTTTAAGGTCTCATCCGAAAGACCCGCAACTTTCACTTCAAAGAGCCGAGCGCTTGGCGAAGGAATAGTTGCTACCTATTTTTTTTTTTCTTTTTTTTTATCGACTTGGGTTGTGGCCTGGGTTTGAACCCACGACCTTCTAATCACGGAGGCGAACGCTCTTATAAAATGAGCTACGGTGACGGTATAGAATTAGGCAGAAACACGTGTTATTAATACAATGGAAAGATTGAATTAGTTTTAAGTTAACAACAAACGTCAGTAAGAATGGAATTGTTTATTTTCAAGACTAAATTGTTTGGATTTAATGATGCCGATGCTTTGCAGAACATAAAATTCATGTTAATAAATGAGACAAAAATAATTCTTACGTTTCTAATTATGATATGCAACGTAGGAGTCTGATTTAGATTGTATTAAATCAGTCAAACACTGAAATAGGAAAATTCGAAGAATTACGCCTTTGTCTCTTTGATTCCACCAAATAAGGATAGAAATTACTCCTCAGCAATGAAAAGGGTAGGCACGTCTGTTTTCCACAAAAAGCATCGACGCTGGAGGTAAGTGATATTTTTAGAGAGATACATTTCTCATGTACGTTCGATTTAACGATTTTTAGATAGAAATATGATGATAACAAACTAATCAAGTTCAAAAAGGCCATTGAAACGATACAAATTGGGAGCAGAGCAGAGAGGACCTCTAAAACATCAGAGAGAGAGAGAGAGAAATTATATGTCATTTGTGCTGTTTTCCTTTTCACAGTTTACCTGTACACATGCGTACTAAATACAGCGTTCATTGCAATAGCTGAGTTGAAAAGGTGACAAATAAGCGATTTCATGAAAATTGAGATAATTTTCGACATTATTATTATCATCATCCATATAACTGCTTGTGACTCTAACAGTGAAGCGACAATATATGTTCTAAGGGTATGTATATATTGTCGCCAGCGATAATATTTACATTTATGATTTTTCAGCCTGCGACCGATAGACGACAATATGTGGAATGAGGGTTAGGTTTATGTATGAATGAGGGTATGTAGTCGGCGACAATTTGTACAGGACGACAAAATGTACCGTCACAATCGCTATGCATGAAAAGTCTACGAGACACCACCTTGTGATTTACAAACAAATTGCATTCACAGAACTACAAAAAGATCCTTAAGCAGCCTTAATTGTGGTGCGACAATATATGTGCCGTGAGGATAGGCGCATATAATGTCGCAAGCGACAATATGTTCATGTATAATTAAATTTTTCAGCCGGCGACAATATGTGTCGATGGACAACAATATGTGCAGTGAGGATAGGTGCATATTGTCTCCGACTACATATGTACAAAAACCACAATTTTAAACGACAAGCACAGCTCTGCTCAAAATTTGTATTGTTTCATTGGATTATACGCATGCTTACTGTTCGGTATCTTCACTTATCACAGTGACTGTATAATGAAAAAAGCTCGAATCTTTGAATTAATGACAAGGAATAAGCTCTATATGTTAAACAATTGACCCTTTCTTGAAACACATTTGACAAATTTATTGAATTTGAATTAAATCTTACATAGAATATGTAGTTCAATGAAAAAAAAAATAATTACAGCATCAACGTATGTATTGTATTGGTCAGAGTCTTATTTATCGATAAAATTGATTGCATCATTAAATAATATGTTCATTCAGACAGACAGTTCTCAGCACTTCAGATCTTCCTATGAAGACCTTTTAGAAATGACTGTTACTTCATAAAGGTTTATGGTTCAGTTCTTGTCTATGTGGTGGTAGTTCGGAGTACAGAGGGGCATGTTATTAACCTACAACTAAATCCTTGTTAAACAAGAGTAAACTGTTACGAGATGATTCTAGCATTATGTGCAGCAGATTTCATAATGGTTGTTGAGTAAATAACAACTCAGACTCAAGGTACGAAACTAAAATATTTGTCTAAATTGTCTTTATAAATTAACTGAAATACATTTTGTAAATCAATATTATGATTCTGATTATTGTAGCAGATTGTATCTTATGGAGTGGAAATTGTCTGAGTGATTGTTGGTAGGAATATAGAGCTGCCTGTAGGTCCCCTGTGATCTGTTTACAAATCCCCAGAATCTGCCATGATATGTCTCTGAATAGTACAGGTAAATATATGTAATGGCCAGAGTGCACCAGGGCGTGTAAAGAAGATAAAACTTTTTTTGATTTCATTATGTCTACATGGCGGTAGCTCAGAAATTCTAGTGTCTGAATCAGTACAAACAGTGGAATGTATAATGCATCCTGTCTATTTTTTAAAATTGCACAATTGTTCTATCATCAATTCTTTGATATAACAGAGGTCACTTTCAAGAGATGAAAAAAGTAATACTGCATTCCAATCCTTAAAGAGCAGGACTGACCCCTTGCATCACCGTGACGCTCTGCTATATGCGTATAAATAAACAAATCTGATGTGGGTATGCTAATTTCATCTTGAGCATTTCTATAATAGATAGAGCCTCCCTGTATCTGAATGTCTTGTAATGAAACTTTACAATGTACAACATGCCAGAAATGAAATAAAACTTGACTGCTAATTTAAGCATGTAGCAAGACATTTTGTCAGCAAAGTACCTCCGTTTGTTTCCATCTGTGTTGGTGTGCAAACTGTGTAAAATATAAGCAGTTCTCCGAAGGATCAAGGCTGTAAGAGTTTGTAAGATGACAACATGATACTGTGACAAGTGAGAACTTAGCAATCGTTCTACTGTGTACAGGGCCTTCACGCTATTGCTTAGACTTTTGATGTAAAGTGCATTAGTATTGGATATCTCAACGAAAATTTCTTCGTGAAAGGTATTTTCAGAAGTCAGATTCTTTGCATGTGTACAAATAAAGAGTGTAGGATTACAAAGGAAATTGATAGCACAGGATCTGATAGACGGGCTCTGTAAAAGACAGGATACGCCCTTTTCGTATAATGTATACAAGCGTAAAAATAAAATCAATTGTGCTTCACCATGGATGTTACTCAGAAACATGTTGTTTTGTGGAATGAAAAAGTTCGGACAAACCCCTCCATAAACCCATTTAAGAATGAGTTTAAAGCAGATCCAGAAACCCTCAAGGAAATTTTGTGGACACCAGTTAGACAATAAGTTTTGTTGAAGTGCCCAGAAGACTGCTGTTTTCATGTGATAGGAACAAAGCAATTTATCCTCAGTACTTAAACCAGTGTTGATTACTTCTTTCAAGTACACTTTCAGTAAACTGTAGGTTATAAATTGAGAGTGGTTCATTGAGTACACAAGTTTTTGTTCTGCCAGAGAGAAAGAAATTCTCCATTCTTTGTCTTTATGATTACCTAGCTTGTTTCCTATTGCTATGAAGTGATATCCATTTTTGACAATATCACGAACAACTTGAGAATGGGGTCATGCATGACATCTGTCGATCCATGAGGAGGCTAAGGGAGGCCAAAAGTCACTGACAAAACAGTGAGCGTAATCAAATTCTACAGCTGCTACGATACCGCTACTGCACAGCCCATGTATTATTAGTTACATAGTTTTGTAGTGACAGGGTACGGGATGATACCTGGTTAGTAAATTTCATACCTGGCGAGGCGAAGCCAAGCCAGGTATGAAATTTACTAACCAGGTATCATCCCGTACCCCACCGATGAAATGTTTATGGTCTGTGGTTTGTAAAATTGTTTTTCTCCGCTACATGTTTCATCACTCATACAATGCCTATTATGACGTCACGTTGTGTTACGTAATGTTGTTTTGCGAGTGTTTCATAACGTACTGACAGTTTCGAAGACTTTTAGTAAAGTGAGAAAAAGGTTCAATCTCGTTACTTACGTTGATTAACTTTTTACTTATCAACAGACAACCGCAAACCTCGTGAACTCGAGTTGTTTGAAGTGTTACAAAAGAACGATAACTCCGCATCAACCATGTATTGATTTTCAAGCGACTAGGTATAAGTAATACACCCCCTTCACGTGACAGACTTCAACCAATCGTAAGCCAGGATTTCATCGAAAAATCATCAGAGGTGGGGTAAAATGGAATCTGGGCATGATGACGAAGCCATGATCAGTCTGTAAAAGGAACTAGATATATATGTCATGTCATTCATTCTGACACATGATAACTGAATTTGTCTGCTCTTGGTATAAGTAACTGCAGTAAAGTAAATCCTTTTGGACTATCAGAACTATCAGTAAGAATCAGTACTTGTCTGGACAAGATATATAACCTAGTCTGAGACAAGTCCGAATTCACTTGATCTTTATCACTCCAGGCCATGGTATCTAAATCAAACTCTAACAGTCTCATTCCCTCTCCATTACTTCCACTCATTATCATACAGGTCTGGTCATCGGTCCTTGCTTGGTTCAACATCAAGTCACGAATGTCTGCCATATCTCTTCTCATGGCCACCTGATTCGAAGTTCCTACAATACGACACATCCCCTCAAACACAGACTCGGACATGTGCCGCATACTTGTCTCACTGCCAAAAACAAAAAATTGAAATGATTTATTCTTTCAGAACCATCAAATTAACTGTTGGAATTTCGATGGACACTAACTTTGTTCCTTTATCAGCCGCCCTGTTTTTATATTTCTTTGACAACAGAATTTATTCAAAAACTTCTACATGAAAAGAAGAAAACTCTTGCCGTGCTCTTCAACTAGACTTCAGATATATCTACGCGGTTTTATTAATTGACATTAGTTACTTCCATTCATATGTAAACTCGATAAATCTCAGTTAATTTGGAATAAAAGACACCAAAGAGCCTGCCACATCTGTTTCATATTTGGATGTTTTAATGACTAAAGACGATGAGGACCATCTAATAACTTAGCAGTATTACAAACGGAATGACTTCAACTTTTCCTGTTGTCAGCGTCCCTTATTTCTGTAGTAATATTCCAACATGACTGCATATGGTGCATATGTCTCAACTGATTCGATACGCAGGAGTATATTCTGAATATGATCTGTTTTTAACTCTAGACAAGCTATTAAAAATAAGTTGATGTTAGAGGGATTCCAACAACCTAGTTTTAATGCAGTATTTCGTAATTGCCATAGTCATTATTATGATATTGTAAGCAAACATAACAAATATTTTGACTGACATATTTCATATCAATTGCTTGGCCTTTGTTTTTTACTGAATTTGACTACGGGTTTTACTGAATTTGACTACGGGTTATTTCCGTCTACCTGATCAATACATGGGGCTCACAGCGGATGTGACCGGTCGACGGGGGATGCTTACTTCTCCCAGGCACCTGATCCCACCTCTGGAATTACCAAGGGGACGTGTTTATTGCCCTGTGAACAGGTTTGCATTGTTTGTAGATTTTTTGAGATCAATAACTGTTCGTTAACTTCATCTAATTCATTCATATGGATTTCACTTTTGTTTGTTTTGTTTTGCTTTTGATCTTTTTTTAAGATATATATATATATATATATATATATATATATATATATATATATATATATATATATATATATATATATATATATATATATATATATATATATATATATATATATATATCAAAAGTCCATAGATCCACAGTGGTCGGTATTGCAGTATAATTAAAATAATTAAAATGAAAACACGAAGAAATTAACACAGTAAAGCATTAGCGCTTTCATTTACAATCTTCAGATGCTTTACAAACAAGTTTACTAACTGTCACATAGTAACGTCTATTATGACGTCATAATTCGGACCGTAATAAAGTCACTATGACGTTATTGTGCCAGGAGTTATTACGGGAAAATCAAATAATGCTATTAAGCTTTGGTTTTAAAGTAGTTATAAGGTGTTTCTCTTTTTCTTTCCTTTGGATATAGTTTCCAAACAGCATCTTATAAAAGGGAAAACCCGTAAACTGTCTCTTCCCGCATACATCTAAATGTTCACTTAATTGAATATGTCTATATTCTGGATTATTTATTTGCTGTTTGTGGACTCGTATCCGAGCTCTCAGTGTAGTGCTTGTTTCTCCGACGTAAAATTCCTTACATCCAGGGCATGTTATAACATAGATTACGGTCTTTGTTTCGCAAGACATATCTGCATTGACATTGAAATGTCGTCCCTGGAAACTGTAACTGGTTCCCTCCGTAATAAGCTCGCAGGTGCCGCATCTTGGGTCATTGCATTTTGTGACGGAACAGTTCCTTTCCTTGAAATTGGATGTACAAAGAATTCTCTTTAAGTTTTAAGCCTGGTGTTTGCTGTTTATAAATTGAATATTTTGGTAAATTGCATTTGTGTCTTCATCCTCCTTAAGTATCCTGTGTTTTCATCCTCCTTAAGTATATCTCTTGTATTCATTCATTTATATTGTTTCGTTAACTGCTGGTCAACTTACAAAGTTGAACTATTGTGGCGTACCTATTTCACTTTTCTTGGTAAGCAAAAGTCTAGACTAGATTCTTTTTAAAAATCTTTTTTAAGCCAAAATAGAAAAAAAATACATTTGTATTTTATTATTTAGTTAAAAAAAACCTGGAAAACGTCAAATATTTTGGACTAATCCTAAAACATGCAGTATGTTTTTTAAGCAAAGTGATCGCTCACATAACCTGTAGATTATGTAACATCAACGTCATATTGGGATTTTATGACGTAATATTAAATTGAATGTAAAAAAAAAAATCATTTGCATAGTGATGTTTATGTTTATTAATCAGAACTACTTCAAACTGATAAAAAACAAGTACCTGTTCATTTTTTTTTTTATCAAAATCGGTTGTAAATCGTATGTAAAATCATATCGTATGACCACCCTACCAATCGACTCCATTCGACTTACCTGAGCAAGTCGAATGAAAATCGAATGAAAAATCGCATCGCATCGTGTGACCGCACCTTAACGAGGTTCGCTCCTGAGCTTTTGAGGAGATTTTTATTTTAACCTATATTTAAAAAAAATCTGCGTAATGTTTTAATTCTTACAATAAATTTGGATTCTACAATGCCAAATAAACTATATTCAGTTAAAACTCCATGATTAAATTCCTTACCAAAAGCATTAAGTGAGGAACTATATTTTGTGGCGGAAGGTTTTTTTTTTTAGAAGAAAATGATCATTTTTTCTCTTTCGAAGTATTTAAGAGCCATTCTCTGTAATGACTTGAACTTTTATATAGGAGCTGTGGCACGCATAGCCTCAGAATTTCCCCAAATTCTCTATGATAAAAGTCTTTGATACCGTAAACTCAAATCAGGCATAAATTGGTTGCTACGTGTCATGGTTACCATAGCAACATGTCCTAAAGTTTCATCTTCAGAGACCCTTAGTTAACGTTTGCAGCAAAGCAAACAAGTGGTAATGACTGTTTCTGAAAGTTGAAGGCCTGGTGTCTTAAATGCATGATAAACATGTTTGGTAAATCATCTATAACATACGTTACTATGGAAACAAAGTATTCAAAAGTAATAATTTTGTTCATTTAATCTTATAAAGTCATACACTTAAGAATAAAGACAATTATAGGTTGAAATGCAAGCAAATAATAGAGAAGAGATCCTTGTAACATATATCAAGGACAAAATATGATATTTCTTATAGGTTGGCAATGGTTGCCATGGCTTTAATAACACAAAGGGACTTCAAATTTACTCTCTTAGTGTTTTAATCTTATCCTATCTTTTTAAAAAGCATATTTCTATATAACTGATGATCAATTTTTAAAGGCCTTGGTGTGACCCTAATTTTTACATTTCAAAAAATTCAATTTCAATTCTTTAAATAGTGCGTTGCTATGGAAATAAGGCGAAAAAACATACATAAAAATCTGAAAAATACTCTGTTTCCTTGGATACGTACCGTTGTATGTAAATTCCCAAAACTTTAATGATTGATATATGTGAACAACTAACCCGACTCTCAATTTTGACTATCACCCAATCTCTAACTGGATGCAAAAAGCTGGCACATGGGGTCTAATATTGACAAAAAATTAACAAAATCGAACATTTTCTCTTCTTGGTAACCATAGCAACAGTGTTGTATTTTTCAACAAGCTTTATCAATATATGATATTCAGCTTTAGTTCTACAAGATAAGTACTATTCAAGGTGATTCAAATAATATTTTTCTTGATTAAAAGGTTAGTAAATTCCTAAAGCAGCAAAAAAAATATCACTTTAAACAACTAGTACGTTGTTTCCATGGTTACACTGCAAAGTAACAATTAATCTCAATTTTTCTTATGTTGTCGGTCTTGCAAGGTCCTAAGGATGCATATGTGCCGGTCATGAATTTTATTGTTTTTCCTCACGATAGTAGCATTAACCCAATCATAGCAACAGATTTTGCATGGTGACACTGTGTTACCATGGCAACCATGAAAGTTATTTTTAGAATAATATTGCCAATACCTAATTACATGAGTTCAAATATTTTTCATTGTTTTTCTTGCGTTGTTGATTGAGTTTGATCATGTAACATCTATCATTTGTGACTATAGAGCGTTTTTCAGCATTTTTCAGCATCTAAAATGTATTCCAAATGTACCCATGGTTACCACTTACTTAGAGATAAATTCTAAATAGTTTCTTTATAGCATAAGTGGCAACAAGGTGTCATGTTTCTGGGAGAATGGTTTGTTTGTTTTTCTTAGTCTTTATTAAGGCTTAATAAAGATTTAAAGTAGCTGAAAATCTCATTTTTTTCAACTTTTCTGGCTGTTACCATGGCAACCAAGACACATAGCAACGAAATTTTATTTGATATATGTTTCTGGTGTCAAGTTGTAATAATGGGCAAAGTTTCATCAAAATCGGTGACCATGCGTGGCAAAGAAGTTTAAGTGGTTACAGAGAATTGCTATTAAAGTATGTTAAGTTTGAATTCCTATTTTTACATGCAGTCTGCACACAGAATTATTTTGAGCAGTGAACTGTTTTATACTGGTCCTAAATTACATATTTAATAAACTGTCATGAATTCAATCATCATATTTGATAAATAAATCAAATATATTGTGAAAATCAAGAAAAAAAATAGCCCAAATTTAAGCTCAAAATTAGCACTATTTTAGTAATATCTAAAAATTAACATCACAGACCTCCACTTTTAACTTTCTTTTCTGAATATACAAGATACTTTTAACCATTCTTCTTAAATTCAGTAAAATGTCATTACTTTTAAATGAGTTTTTTGCTTGTTAAATTTGTAATGCTAGCAAAATGAAATTTTTTGAGTGCAAAAAGGTCAAATAATTGAACGTGCGGAGTAATTTAAAAAAAATTTCGTTGTCAAAAATTTTAATGGGTCTATTCAAGATGAAATAAAACTGTGTTTGTTCCCATAACTTATTTGAATAAAAAATATTGGAGGAAAAACTTTAAAAATTGATTTATGTGTAAGACGTTTTTACAGTGCAAAAAGGTCAAACTAAATGCTCTCTAGCGCCAAAAGAAGCGCATTGACCCCAATTTTTTGTTTTCATTTTTAATTAAGCTATGTGTA